TGTATAAGTGTATCCACACCTCTCCTGTCACATTTCTGAGCAAAGAAGGGTCCTTCATTTAGATTAGCAGATAGATTGAAGCAGGCACCCTCCTACTTTCATAACACTAGGTATCATTTTGATATGCTTGCAAGTGGGGAGGATAATTACCATTGCTGTACTATCAGTGACACTGCTGTTACTGGTTCCAGAACTTCATTTTTAGGAACCTGGTTTTATTCAGTACCAGAAAAAACAGCTACTTGAAACTTCACCTCGGTTAAATTTTCTCTCACATTCTATTCAACTTTTCATTATTTTTTAGAAATATTTTTGTTAGGAAAAAAGTATTCTAAGAAATAGGTGTAGATTCTGTATTTAGAATTTTACTTCTAGTCTTTTCAATATACTGAAAGTGCTCATTATGAGTTTTAGTTTTGTTAACAAAAATCATCTTAAGCCCTCATACATACAGTATATGCTGTGGTTCTGTTTTTCACTCTTCATTAGCACTTTTGTTTTGTAGGACCCACTGTCTTTCTGCATGTAAAACAAACAATTTCTTTATAGGTTTCATTTTTTTCTCATTCCAAGCTCCAAAATAATATCAGTAGGTCATAGGTCATTAAGTAGGAAGTAACTCAGATTGCTAAGCCTCCTTACTAAGTCCCTAGCAGAACAATTCAAGACTAATGCTATCATCTAGAACTTTGGAATGCAGCAAATAAGTTGCTATATTGACTGTTGACGAACTTGGAAAAGGTTTGTGGTCTAGAATTATCACCAGCTGAGTGCGAGCTTCTGGAGCACAGAGCCAGGAGAGCGCAGTTATCCTTAGGCTGCTGCAAGATTGTTACTAAAATTAATTGTAGGGTAAGTCTAATGAAACTGTTCAAAACAGGATATGGTGAAACACAGAGCACTCCCTCTCAAATCTCTCCCTCCTCTTTATATATTCTCTCTCAAAATAAATAGCTATGGCTAGTTGGAATCAGAGTGCCACTAATGCTACACTTTCTATTTTAATTTCTAAGTTGCTGTGGTTGCTAAATACTGGCACCTGGGACTTACATAGATTCATTCATCTCCCATCTTTTTGCTCTTTTTGTGACTTCAGAGACTATCTCACAGTTGTTACTCACCATTTGTGTTTGCTTAGGTACAAATTCATGGTCAAAATGGACCAGTATTTCTTTAGGACTCTGAGGACTGAGCCTGCTACTATATTGCAATAATAAACTCCCAGATGCACCCTGTTCCAAGCTTTTCACTGTAGTGAAAAATGTCCAGCTTAGCAATGCTGCAGCCTGTGTAGACTCTTTAGGTCTTGTATTACCCAAAAGTTCAAAAAGCTTTATTACACTAGATTTCTGATAGACAAGAAGAGGGTCAAAAAGGTTCTGAACCTACCTAGAAGTTCGTCTTGAAGACACTTGAACATACACTTTCTGCTTTAGAGGTAAGTGGAAAATGCTGCTCTAATTTGCTGTTACTAGCATTTCTTAAAGAGAGTAGCAGTTCTAAGGAATGAAAGGTCTCTCAACAACTTACAAGAAATCTGGTTCCTCATTTCCACAAGCAGCATTGCAGATAAAGAGCTGTTTCATGCCTAACATTCTAAGCCAAAACTATTGACCTAATCTCATTTTTGGAGTAAGGTAGTTCTACAGGAGGAGAGTCTCCTCTTTAACTGGAAAAACAAAAGCACTGTGATTAGATCCAGCATTGCAAATTTAACCATACAAACTACGAGGTTTGAAATATAATCAGTACTTAAAGATACAAATTATGTTTTCAGTTACTTTTGGGGGGGACATAACTACAGTGAAAAAAGAAAGCTGATATTCTGATGTGGTCACTTTTCTTCTGACCCTAAATAAATGCATTATTGATATATGCATATATGTATATAGACAGTGCATGTATTACAACAATTGCCAATACTGTGTTGCTGTAATAAAAATTAATTCTTTTCTTTTGCAAAACCCATGAAGTTGCATGCCTTCAAATGAATTTGCCCAGATTTTCTGTTGTGTTTTTTTATTCCTGCTTTCCACTTGGTTTCCATGAAGCTGAATAGCATACTTAGGAACATGTGTATCCTAACTAGCTCATGTTTCTCTAGCGAGGGAATGAGAATTGAGGTTACCATTAATCAAGAGGCCAGAAAATTGTGTGATGTGCCTCAGCCAGCATCATCATAAATTAAGGGATATCCCAGTTCCCTATGGCTCCAAGTCATCACCACATAGGTCACTGTCAGCCCTTAAACTTTGGGTTTCACCCTTTCAACAAAGTGGCCCTCTACAATTAAAAGACACTTAAACACTTGCAAAGTATAAATTATAAATGTATAAAATGTTAGGTACCTTGCAGCTAACCACATAAACATTGCAATTTGAGGTTTCTTACATACATGAATTACAAAGAAAGTTTTCTACTCTAAACTTATTAACACCACACATTGCAAATATGAATTAGAATGAAAGCTAATTTTTATGCTCTGAAATGATAAATTTCCTATAGTTACCCATTAAACATTTAATATTGATAGAGGAAAAGGAGCAAATTTCACTCAGAATGAATGGCTAGACCACTGATCATTTTGTTAGTTATCTAAGACCTGCTCTTGTAACTGTCCATGCTGGGGGTGGGGGGAGTTGAATGGGGAGAAAATAGCAAGCTCCTGACTTTTGAAGGCCTGGCATTGTTCTTACCAAATGGGAAATTGATTTGAAAGTACTTGTCAGTATCCTCGGTCCTTTAGAGCTACTTCAGGCTCACTCAGAGCTGAAGTTTTGAAAACAAACTGTGAATTCTGTAGTGTTTACCATTCTTACTGCTGGGATTCAGTCCAGTGGAGGACTTGCTTCTCTGGCTTCCTCTCTTCCCTTTTACTTTTCTCATTTCAACCATTATATGCTCCTACCTTCTTAGCAAGGCACAAGATTTTATGCAATTGAAGTCTTGGCACAGTAGTTTCTGTAGCTACATGGGGTAGTATGTCCTTTCTCATTTCACACAGTTCAAATGAGATGGAAAGAAGCAACTGGGTAGTTTGAGATAGGCATGAGACATATCCTTTTTGCCCACCCATATATCCAAATGCATATCAAGAGCAAAATTCAGTGGGAAAAAGTAATCTCTAACTTCTTTCTTTGATGTTTTAAATGCCTTTTCACATGTTCCTGAATTTGCATGAATTTGTTACACACGTTTTTCTTCCTGACATTTCTTTTGGAGTGGTTTATTCTCACCATTGTTTGCATACCAACTCTATGGCACCCTGTCCCTGCACAGTCCTTCAGTGAGCCTTTCAGTAGAAGAAATAGGCCAAATTTTAATGCTCTCGACGTTGCCCAATCCAGTTTATCCACTTGCAGCTGTACATCTTCTAATGCCTACTTTAGTCATACCAAGCTCACATTTTTCTCCACTGAGTGATAGGTTCTGTTGGCAGACACTGCCTTCTGAGTTAAAAGTAGGGCTCATTCTCAGCTGTAAATCTCTTTGTTGTTACAAGCAGGTGTAGATTTGTACAGACCTGTCTGTGATGTCAGCTTACACAGTGTAGTTACTGCAGTCCTTTTGCAGAAAGCAAATATCTGGAACTTACATGTCCTGAGTTGATTTTAAACCCACAGAATCTGGAGCATAAACACATACTAGAAAGCCCCAGCTTTAATGGATGGTCATTTTTAGGTGTTGAATATAGGCCTTATCAGAGTACATGTATTTTTCAGTAATCTGCAAAACAGGTGAATCCTTCTTAGTTTAAAATTTGGTGTAAAGTTAATCCAAGAGTTTTTGGAGGTTTAATGCTGTCTCTCGTACTATATCTGCTATGGTTTGTCTTGCAAGATCCTTTAGAATGCATAGATACTAAAATTATTCTTGTTGCAAAGGCTTACAAGAGCACAGAATCAGGCAGAAAACAGTAAGAGAACAGGAGCGGTCCATTCACATACTCCTACATCTAGTTTGTAACCTTCACATCATGATTCATAGTTTGTCATCTGCTCAATGTAGTGCTACTAGCAAGATTTGCCTTATTCAGTAGTGCCAAGCAGGAACAACCACAGGGGTCCTGTGTTACAAGTTTCCATTTCAACACTCATTTGTGATAGAGTTTTTTAAAAATGCTGTAGTAAATGGTAAATTTTTATTCTTTTTAGGACTCTGACTGATTTTCTCATGTGTATGTCCCTAGGTGCTGGTTGTAGAACAAATATTTTAACCTGTTGAACCACACTGTGTATTCTGGCCACTTACATATCATAATTGGTCTTGTTTTAATAGGGTTGACATGAAGCAAGTCATTTGGTGGTGGAACTCAATGCATCGCCAATTGAATGGATTAGATAGATAGAAGCAGTTTCTAGTGCATCCCCCCATCAGAAGACTTTATTTTGCTATGGTTGTAACAGCACTCCTGGTAATACCATGAAAGCCATGCCTTCACTTTGAAAATGTGTTTTGTAGACAGTGATACAGGAATAGCTTTCTCTGTCTCTTGTATACTGTTTTCACTAGTACGTAACACAGTTCTAATTCCTTGTCATTTAGTAACATGCGTTTGGTGAAAGTCAATACCTGTTTTAAGTTCCTTTTCCTTTTTCAAGTGAAGACGTGGATTGTTTCCTTTAGTCAAGGTACTGGCTGTGGATATCAAGAACTTGTTAAGCTATCAGTAATGGGGTATTAGGTACTTGCAAACCGTTTATATAAACAGATATGTTTACTTCAGGTGACCTTTTAATTTGAAGAGGAAAACAACACACGTCCATTGACATTTTACCAACACTAAAACATCACAGAGGATTTAGATAACCAGTATTAACCCCTTTATCAAAAATTAAGTGAGGATTGCTGTGGTGGTAGCAGAACATCAGTTTGAAGTTGTTGCCTCAAAATAAGTTACCAATAATTTGTCAGCATGAGTTGATTGAGGCTGTAGGAGATAGTCATGACATTTTTCATGTTATGCTGTCCAAAAGCCGTATAGAAGGGTATTTGATGTCATGGCCTTTTCTCAATTAAAGGAATATAAAACAAAACCAAAATCAGGAAACATTGATGAGAAAGAGAGAAAAGACAGGACAGGACACTGGAGAGAGGTGAGACTTTGGGAAGTTAGAACTGCTAAGTATGTGTGTCTAACAATAGGTACCTACATGCATACAGTAGTTCCAAAAAAGGTTATGTGGCTTTTGCTAGAGATTATAAACATCTGTGGTTCCCACTGACCAAATTCATTAATTTTCTTACTTCTTTTTCACATATGCATTCAGAAGCTGTAGTTGCATTCCCATCTGAGAGTATGTGAATGCCAGTCAGTTCAAGACTCACTGTTTGCTAGAATATCAGAAGAAAAAACAAGAAGCTAACATCTGTGCTACTGTCTGTGACTCTGATCTATCACATGGTGGGATGCACTAGTCTGTAGCAGAATTGAAAGCCCATAGGCATGATTCTAAACCTTCTAAGACTAAAAAAAGTATGTGCCATCCTCTGAAGAAGGTATCTCCATAGACTTACCAATTAATCTTGACTTTGGGGTCCAGATAGCGTGCATAGATAGCACAAGGGAAGTAAACCACAAACTTCTTGGTGACTCACTTGATTAGCCAGGCTTGTCCGTGTAATGCAGAATTGTGATATTGATGTGACAAAGTGACTCTCCTAAAACCTTCCCACCAAGCATAATCATGCTATTACTGTTTACACTGACAGCAGCTTCCTTCCATCCAAGGAGCTCAGCACATTTCACAACCATTAAGTCTCCCAATGAAATGGTTAACCGCATTATCCTATTTTCTAGATGAAGCACATGCAGATTAATGACTTGTTAGAGTCACACAGGAAATTTGTGACAGAGCAAGGAATGGCAGCTTCCCCAGCCTACTTTTTTGGTTACAAACTGACTCTTTCTGTCCCCAAAGAAAAGGTACTACCTGCATTTGGAGCAGCACTACTAATGTATGAACTGAAAAGGTGGGTGATCAGTTAAAATCAGTCAAAAAACCCCAACAAACAACCCAACCCAACCCAACAACAAAAAACCCCACAAAACACAAAAACCATAAAAGCAGCTCTGCTTCTCTACTATTAATTTAATGAAGAAATTCAGCTATTATTGGCATAGGATTGCTTTTAAGTAGAGACAGGTTATAAAGATGCAAGAATCCTAGCCCTGACTTTGAAGAGGGTGAGGGAGGGGAAGGGGGATTTCAGCAGTTTGATGCAGCACCCAAAATCCAATATGACCAGCACAGAAGAAACAGCTGTTAATCTGGTCTGGAGGCTTGAACGTACTGATTCATTCTTGGGCTGCTTGATTTAGCTGTGGCTGAATGTCAGCATTTCTGTTTATACTGAGCAAAACACAGTGTTCACTGTGTGGGTCACAGGGGATGATGGTGGCGTTTCCTCTTCCCCAGCATGTGAGAAAGGCACTGATCACTTCTGTGACCCGTATTTGTATCCATGTTAATTCATTTGCTGCATACGAAGAGGTTCTTATTCAATTGCTGACTCATGGGATATGCCCAGTTTCTCACTTTGCAGATTAACACGGGTAAAAGAGTAATGTTTCTGTCTTTCCCCATCAACACAGCTCACTTCCCCTAGTGGGTTAACCAGTCTCCAGAAACTCATACTATTCTTTCACTTCACAGAGTTAGTTGCTCTGTTTATTGTCTGCCATGTTGAGCATACAAAAAGACCAGCATTCAGTGGAAAGACTGTTCTCCCAGATGCATCTGAAATGTAAATTATAATTGTATAAGTTAAAAGTAAATTAAATTACAGAAGGTATTGGTGCCATCAGGCTCTTGTGAAATTTCAGAGTATTTAGCTTAGCAAGCTGTTAAACTATTAAACAGTAAAAAAATACAAATTCTATTGTTACATGCACAAAATAGAGCTTCAAAACAACAGATTCAGGGTGTTTGTTCAAATTCAGGAACAAAACAATCAAGATGCTGTGAAGACATTTCTTCAATTAAAAGAAAGTTTGACCAACTGAAGATTAAAGATGAGGCTCGTGTTTCTGCTTTACCAGCAAGAAGGAGAGGACATGATGTGCCCTTAAGTTTTTTATCACCCAAAGACATCACCCAAACTAAGTACACAAACTGTTCCGATACATAAACATCCAGTGAAATAATAATATGTGAAATACATAACATAAATGCTTACACATAAAAATATATCAGAGCTTTTACTTGGAAAGTTAGTGTAAAAGTGAAATACTTTAGCATGTGAGTTTGTTTTTTTAAGATTATTCTATTTTTTACTGTAAGGGTTGTATGCTTATGGATTTCCAGCTGTAGTACAAGTGCCTATACAGGAGGTATTCTGCTATTTGTGATTTATCTGTATGTGTATATACACATACAGACAAATACACATAGTATATACACACATAGTATGACATGAATTGTGTGATACTTGGAGCTGATTTATGTTGTGTAGAGAAGGAAGGTAGGGTTTTTGCATGCAGGAGTAGAATTTGGGAGATTTGTGCCCTGAGCGTGTTCTGAGAGAAATATGTATGTATCTTTGAAAATAATTACTGCAGATATATATTCTTGGTCTATTTGTACACTATTATCCTGCCTAGCTACATAATTTTAAATTAGAGATGTCCATGAGGAGGAATTCCTGGCAGGGATGAAAACAAAGTAGAATCTTGAGGATAATCATGAGTCCTAAATGAAACATGAGGAAAGCCATTAACTAGGGATCATGCTCAGCCTGACTCTGACCTGAGCTGATGGAATTTCTTCTTTCAGTCAAGGTTAGGGTGGAAGATGATACTTATGAAATCTTAAAGATGCTGTCCTATACAGAGAAAGGGGTTGACTGAACTCTTCAGGGAGTGTCACTGAGTGCTGACAAGGACTGACGCATACTGTGAGTGGCAGCAGACTTTCTATATGACCTTGGCTAAGTCACTTAATCCCTCTGTGACTTGGTTTCCTCATCTGCAGAATTAGGTACAAATAATAATACTTCTCTGCCTTACAAGGAGCTGTGGGGATTACTTCATTACTGTTTGCCAAGTGTGTTCAGAGACAAACAGAAAAGATGCAGTGAAAATGTGATTAGTTATTGCTGGAAACCTGTACAATCTAAAACACCTTGTTGATCATGTCTTGGAAAATATATTATTAATTGGCTGTTGCTGGGGAATCTGATCTTATCAGTAAGCACACGAGCCCATCATACCATCCCTTTTTCCTCTGCTGCCTTTATGCTCTTGTATTCAAGTAGTTGTGCACTTTCTATGATGGCTGCTTTTGGCTTCTATAAATGATGAACCTGAGATACGCTCCCACCCCCCCCCCACCCCCCCCCTCCCCCCAAAGCTAAAGTCTTGTTCTTTTACCTAGGAACTTCTGTATAGATTGACGTAAAGGTAAGTAATAAACTTCCTTGAATTACAGCTTCCAAGAACTGGATTCCAAGTGTTCAAGATGATTCTGAAGTCCAAAGGAATGTCCATTAGTGTGAGTGTCTTTCTTTTGGCCAGGAGATTGAAAGAAACTCTTACAAGCTGCAGCTCTGTGCTTCTTAGTACCAGATGTGTGCATTTTCTCATCACACAGGATATCAGTTACGGATATGCAACAGCATTTCTCTCATATTAGGCAAAACTCAATCAGTCTAAGCAGTCAGCATATTTGAATTCATGAGACTGAATCAACAATGTGAATTTATACCAGTCAGTGTTTTGTATCATGCAGCTATGATACTTTTGACCCAATAATGGCAGGTTGGTAGGAGCTCTAAAGCTAAACTTATATTAATGAACCCAAGCTGAATGAATTAACCAGTATATGCATTGCATTAGCTCCACTATCCAGGTGAATCCTTTAGGCCACAGGAACTTAGAAATAACCTGCAAATCTATTTCAACTGTGCTTGAAGTCTTCTGGATCCAAAGATGCGAATTACATACAAAGAGAATTTTAGAATCATAGAATGGCTTGGGTTGGAAAGGACCTTAAGTTCCAGCCTCACACTAGACCATGTCACCCAAGGCTCTGTCCAACCTGTCCTTGAACACTGCCAGGGACGGGGCAGCCACAGTTTCTTTGGGCACCCTGTGCCAGCACTCAGAAGAGCTTCTGCCTTAGATCTAACCTGAATTTCCCCTGTTTCAGTTTGAACCCATCACCCCTTGTCCTGTTGCTACAGTCCCTGATGAAGAGTCCCTCTCCAGCATCCTTGTAGCCCCCTTCAGACACTGGAAGCTGCTCTGAGGTCTTCAAGCAGCTTCTCTTCTCTAGGCTGAACAGCCCCAGTGTTCTCAGCCTGTCAGTAATACCAGTAGGATGTATGTTTAAGAGAGCATTAACTTCTCTGTGACTGTGAAAAGGGTGAATTTTGATTGTTAATCTTACAGCTTCTGTTTTCTTTTAGACTGCGAATCTCAGTAGTGGGATCTCTCTTCTACAGTATCTTCTGTCCTATGAACAGATGTTTATATTTGCTTAATGATGTCCATGGAGTCTGGTAAGTCACTAAGGAATGGTAGTCACAGTGGCTTATATGAAGTATTGCCTATGTTTGCAGCCACACCCAAGCACTCACCTTAAAGCACATAGGACAATACTGTTTGTTAGCTTGCACAATGCACGAGATAAGATGGTGCAATGTTCACATGTCATTGCTGTTGTGTGTGCTGTCCATGTCAGCTGTTTCTCCTGAGTAGCACATAAGACTATGGCATTGATAAGCTATGCACAATCTTTTTCACCCTCATCTACTATGGCAGAAAAGGTTCAGTAGAAATAATCCATTTGTTCACTCCCTTTCTACTCTTTTGTAGTCAAGTCAAACCTTTTTTTTGCTTGCTAATTCTCATTAGGCTCCCAGTGACATCACCTAACTAGGACTTTCAGGGTGGGGACCATTGTTATTTATAGAGTACCAGACTTAGACTACTGTTGGCAGGGTTTAGATAAGGCAACAAGAGCACTAACTTGAGCAAAGAGAAAAAATGAAAGACAACAAGGAGTTGAAAGTTTTTAATATGTGAGAAAGGATCATTTTTGTATCTTTTTTCCCAGTAAAAATGTATGTTTGCTGAATTACCAGTTACATGTTTATTCAGTGTACATGTAATATATTTCCTTAATAGTGGAACATATACTGTGTAAATTTTAGTTGGCACTTACAATGCACTGTTTTAATGCAGTCTTCTTTTTCTGAAGAACAACACTATACTCAGTTACAGCTAGAGCTATTTTGAGCAGTAAGTCATTCTGCTGTATTATACATTGGTGTATTTTTAAGAAGGCAATATAATTATTGAAAGCAGGATGTATAATGTTCCCTTACAAATAAAAAATGTGGTAATACTTAAAGGCCTTGGAAATAGGATATAAATATTGACACACTAGTATAAGGCAGAAGAAATACTGGTTTTGAAGGAAAAGTAAATAAATATATGTCTTCATATAATCGTTATGATACAATTCACACAGCCTAGTAAGGATTCTCACCACTAAATTTAGATTAGAATGTGTTTCAAAATAACCTCAGTTGAGTACTTTCAAGTTACAGAGAGTATGCCGGAGGATTGCAGTAATGATAACGTCCGCTTAATAGCACTTATAGTGAACAGTAAGCAAACCACTTTCATTTGGAGATGAAATGTAGGATCTTCCAGAAGTATCTCTTGTGGATATTTCTTGTGATCGTTAGAGTAAGCATCAGGAACACAAATATTGTTTTTTATACAGGAATTTTTTTTGACCTTCCCTCTTTGAGCAACGAGGAAACAAAGAGAAGGACTGAGAGAGTTTGGGAAGGCAGCTGGCATGAAGAGGAGGCAATGATGTTCAGTAATAACTGTTTTCTTTGTCAGCACAATGGAAAATAGTTTTCGGAAGAAATAAAGTTTCTTTCTCTCCCTTCCCACTCACTTTTATTGTTGCATGAAGTCAGTTTGGAGTACTCAACAAAAGATTCTCTTCTTATCCATAAACCCACTTCTTCTGCACATTGTCTCTGAAAATGATTTCTGGTGGTGATTAGAGTATCATTCATTGTCTCCCAGCACACCTGAGGTATCCAAGCAAATAGTCTGTCAATTCTCCCACGAAGAATCGGTGGTGATGCTTACTGGAAGCATCAAAGCAGTTTGATTAGGATACCAGACCCTGGTGAAAATAACCCTCACATCTTTTACCTTGTTGTTTATGCTGACAGTAGCTGAAGCACTGTTATGCTTTCTTGCATTTCCAGTGGCAATGTACCAGATCAAAAAGAATCTTTGGCTCAGAAGCTGCAGAAAGCAGACTGAAGGTTGTTGAGGGTCATGAAGGCAGTTGGAGCTCCTGTTGTCAGTGAGGAAAAAAGAAACGGGCTGTTTGATCTGATTTGGTTTGAAGAGCTTTTAGTAGAAGCAAAATGTTTCTAGAAAACTCCACCAGCATTTCCAGTCCTTTATTCAAGCAGATGCTCTTTTGCTTAGGTGGGTAGCTGGCTGGCTTCCCCGTTGTCCTCTGTGTATCCTTTACAGGAGGGATCCCCTTTCTTTCAGTGCTCTAAACTCTGGCCTCCTGGCTTGTTCCTGAAATGAATTGGTGGCACAAGTCTAATGTGTGTATTTTAAAGAAACACCAACAAACTCTATATGGGCAACTATACATTCAGGTATCTTAAAAAATAATAAAATAAAACAGCTAAGATTCCCACAAGAATATGCACAAAAGCATTCCAAGCACCAGGGAAGCCCATGTGCTTCCAGCATTGAGTTGATCTGCTCTGGCACAGTAGTTGCAGTACGCAACAAACTTTGTAATCATGGTTTCACCAGAGTCAGGAATGCACCACTAGTTCAGTCAGTATTTAACTCATGATCTCCAAATTGTCCTTTCAGGTGTGGAGACCTGAAAAGACTTCTTTTTATTGGCAATTCTGGAGAGCAGGTAAATTAAAACTGAATCAGTGCCCTAGGTTTGATTCAGTGGAAATACTGTTCCTTTGAAATAAACCACAAACAGTGTATTGTGTAAGAGCTGGGGCAGCAGGTTTACAACTCTCACATTGTAAACTAATGGTCTGAGTCTTTACCAGCTTATTCAGTATAGTATTTTATTAGTGTTACAACCAGCATAATCATCTTGCTTATCTATGGTTCTTTATAACCATGATATTACCAAGATTACAGCAATTCATTGCCTGACTTTGTGTATCTGTCAAACCAAATATTCATGGAGTACTGATTGCTGCTCTGAGTAGCCTGGAGTAATAGTTCTGATCCCTCTGGTGACCTATTAGTATCTCCTAGATGGCAGTGAAGGAGGTCTTGCATATGTGCATTTGTTTTTGTGTTTCTAGGGCAGTCAGTTGCCATTCCTTTCCTGTGTCACATATTTGATGGTGTTGTCAGTAAGCTGTTGTGTGTGTGTAACATGCACTTTCATTGCTATTTATAATATTGGTATCAATGTTTAGTTTGGTGGTACAGTAAGAGAAGGCAGATTACAATCTCTTCCCCGGTGGATAGTAGCAGATAGGAAGTGATGTCTTTCATAATGGAATAATGTAAATAAAATGCTCCTCATTAATTAAACATAATTAACTGAAAGGGAATACAGTTAGTTAAATACACTAAATCTTAAAAATAGAGACTGTTAGTAAAATACTGTCAGCATTTTGAATTCTAATTTTAATGCGCGACCATCAAGAAGTTGAAGAAGTTTCTTGTGAAAGTCTTTGCATCGTGGATTTCCTGGTATTCACTGGTTAAATGGAAGCGTCTGTCATATTGCTAAGGTCCTTGAATCCAGAGGAGGGCAAGAAAGCTGATGAAAGGGCTGAAAGGAAAGTCCTATGAAGACCAGTTAAGGACTGTGAGCTTGTCTAATGCGGAGAAAAGGACGCTGAGGGGCAACCTCATTGCGCTCTACCACTTCCTGAAGAGGGGAAGTGGGGAGAGAGGTGCTGAGCTCTCTTCCCTTGTATCCTGTGACAGGACAAGGAGCAATGGCCATAAACTAAGACACAAGAAGTTTCACCTCAGCATGAGAGGTGAAACCGCCAAGAGGGTGGTCAAACACTGGAATGTGGTTAATGCCCCAGGCCTGGCAGCATTTAAGAGGCATTTGTACAACGGCCTTAGCCCTGAAATGATCAGACAGATGGACTAGATGATTGTATGTCTTTTCCAGCTGAAAATACTCTATCCTCTATGTCATCCAGCTTTCAGGCTTCTCCCAGTCTTCAGCAGAGACCCTGTGAAAATGCTTCTAAAAATTAAAAATAGGAAGTTAATTTTTAATGCACGTCAGATAAAATAACTTCAGGCCCTTCCCACAAGGTACATGAAATGAAACAGCCTCAGTAACTCTTTGCTCTGAGAAAATGTTTGGTGGTATTTGTAGAATCATAGAATCAAGTAGACTGGAAAAGATCATTCAGTCCAACCGTTCCCAGCACTGCCAAGACCACCACTAACCCATGGCACTGAGGGCCTCATCTCCACAGTATGCAAACATTTGCAGGGACAGTGACTCCAGCACTGCCCTGGGCAGCCTGTTCCAATATGTGATAGGAATTGTCCATGTCTTTTACAGGTGTAAGAAAGGCATAGAAAAGTGAAAAAACAGCAGCAGAGCATCTCCTAGATACTCTCAGAGATACTCCAAGGTCAAGTTAAACCAACCAGTGTAGAACACTTTAGGGAAACCGCTCATGAAATGCTAGTAAGTGTTTTGATTAGCGTACTTCTGTGGCTGTAATCAAGACAGCAGTTGAGGCTATCACCTTGGAGAAGCCTTCCCCGTGCCAGGTTAGGGTTAGAGTTAGAGGTCGGAGGGGCATGACTCACCCATGAGGAGTACGGCGTGTGTTGTCCTCGCCCCATCTGAGCAGCGCGGTCCCACCTCTGCTGTCCTCATTTCCAGGGCAGAAGCATGGCCGGCCCTGATTGGCCACACCAGCTCCCCGCCTCACCCTGGATTGGCTGAGCCTTCCACCTCCTCCCTCTCATCTTGCTGGGCCACCAGCACTACTGGGCTGCAGCTCCTCCACACTGACCACCGAGGGACCGGAGGTGCCCGCACGGAGAGAAGGTGTGTTGGTGGGGATGTGGTGGATGGGTGCACACTAACTGCTGGTACTTGTTCTCTGAGGCTAAGGAGGAGGTCTGTGGCTCATCAAGAGCATCTAGGAGAAGAAAAGAGAGGAAAATACTTGTAAAGGATGGGGTTAGAAAGGGGTCTACAGGACTGTTGGCAGGATGGGCATGCCAGGACTATGCTTTTTCAAATTACAGAAAGGTGTTTATCATATTAAATGCTCTATACTTAAAGGCTTTTAAAACAACTTTTGTCTCTATTCAGAAATTTGCCTAAGGCTCTGGAGAAGCAAGCCACCAAAGTACCTCTTCCCAAGTCCACTAGACTTTGAATACTGTAGCTAAGTAACTACCACCTGGGGATTTAATTGTTGGCCTCAAGTTGTAGTAAACTAAACGTGGAAGTGGATATTTAAGGTAGCAGCTCAGGTACTGCAAAGGTGAGGGCCATGTAGGCTCAGAGGAGGAAGGGATTGTATCTGTGATAAAAAGAATTAGAATCCATTAGATAAAGGAACTGAGAAGACAGTCATTTTTTTCACAATTATATCCAGTTAGAAGCTTGCAAATGATATTTAGTTGACAAAATTCCCTGTGCTTCTATTTTATAAATATTTACTTTTAATTTCTTTACATTTTCCATGAAGAAAAGGTCAACTTGTGATGCAAGATAACATAATTGCATTGAATATGTATTGGAACTCATGGTCCATGGGAATTATTTTCTGCTCCTGCCTCAAGTCTGGACTTGGAGTTTTGTAAGATGCTGCTCTCTCCCTCTTCCTCATCTCAAACCTGCTTCCAAAGGATGACATGTTGAGCCTCTTAGGATAGCTCTGGAACTGTTAAGTCAGGGAGCTGATGCATGGAGAAGGCATCTCGGCTGTGTTTCAACTTGTTGCTCTCTCTTCTAGTCAGAAAAAGAGGAAAGGAGGTTTCAAACTGCTTTCCTTTTGTGTCGGAGTGTAGCTCCAGCCAGTTTTCCAGTCCTAGCTGAACTAGTGCTAAGGACTCTGTGCTTTGAAATAGAACATCTAATTAGGAGCAGTTTTTTCTTCCATCTCTCCGTGAGTCAGACAAAGATTTCAACAACATGTAGACTGGTTCATATTAAATCACTGTTTACCACATCTGTCGCTATAATAGCACCTATATGCTGTGTTTAAAGTTTAATTAGAGGCGGGCCATGTCCAAATCGTCACAAGAGATGGGACAACCGCACCCAGCACACTGATACCAAAACATGATGCTGCCCAGGATCCCATTGAAGTGACATTTTCATGGCACTTTTGGGAGGGATAGTCTCCCTCTGCTTTAAAGACATGGTAACTTGCATATGTATCCTGATTGCTGCACTTACTGGTTGTGACATCATGCAAACTTCTATCTTCCTTATAGGAAACCTTTCAACACTTCACAGTCAGGTCTTTTATTATCTATTGACTCATGAGGCTTTTTGAAAAGCTACTGAAGTTCAGAGTTAAGTGTATGGGTGTTTGGAATTGCGTTCTGAAGCTTTGCCTGCTGCTTCCAAATGCTCATGTTACTTAATTCATTAGCAGATACAAAACCAGATGGTCTTCCACATTCATGTGCAAATGAAGATACACAGGTTGATGATACAAACTGAACATATCTCTTGTGTTTGTAAAACTTAAAAAAATCTCAAGTCAATATCTCCATTCTTTCTGTTACAGCTTAGTGTATCGCACAAGGTGACCCTGTAGCAGACAGCATCAAATATAGTATTTTACTAAGTTCTTCTTGTGATTTAACAGTTGTATCAGCCTTTTTGTAGCTGGAACAGTATTTATATTCATAAGATGTAATGGCCTGACAAATTTTATGGTGCCATGGTTGAATGTTTAGACTTTGAGAATGGGCCAGAAAATCTGGCGTTAGATACCTGAGAATACTGCTGCGAAATGTCTCCTTTCTTTCCTGAAAACAGTTTACTATCAATGTCAGTGCTACAAGTGAATTTATATTATAGTTCATTTAAGAAAATACGTTTTCTTTCCACTGACAGTTCTTGAAGACTGGACTTCAGTTCTGCCTCTTAGTTATTTCTGTGGATTTCTGTCCTGGGTATAATATTCTTATCCTACAGGAAGCATGCAGAACAATTTAGTAGTTTTAACTTGTTTAGAAGTTCCAAAGGACTCTGCGGAAGTCTTGTTAAGTCCTTCAGGAAACAAATATCTTGAAACACTTCTAAGAGTTCTCTGGGGCATTTAACAATAGATTTCTTGGTTGCCTCTTGGAAGTAGGAGTAGGGAAAGCAGTCAAAAGAGACCATGTTAGTCATGGTTAGAGCTACAGAAAGCAGTTTGAGAGACCAAGGATTGTGTCTTAGCTCTTGAATAACAAAGGAGCTGAGCTAAATCTGCTGCATTAACATGGAGGACTTTTGTTTAAACCCTTTTCCAGTCTAAAGCCATAATGCAGCAGACAGGATTGCTGCATTATGTATGGCTGGCGTGTATGTAACGAGAGATTGTATTTTCAAATGGAAATACTTGTGTCATATATTGCACTGCTCTGCCAGTGTATATAGGCAGTTTAGTTTAACTTATTTTCTTCAAAAGACACGAATGCAATGAAAGCCCAGCTCTCTAGTCTTGTTCTGTTTCCTACCCTGGAGAAAAGCAGCTGTTTGTCAAACATAGCAACTACTCAAAAGAAGTCACTTTAATCTATATTGTCTTTATTTCACAGATGAGGAGACACCCCAGCTTCGTTTTTTTGTTCTGTGGGATATTTTTGCCCGGAGCCCTTGGTTTTCCACAGACAAATACCTCAATTGATTGTGATTCTCTGTTACCAAACTATGAAGCTGTACCACAGACGTCTGCACCACCCTATATTATTGCTGTATCTTTTGATAACTTTGAGCCAGGAAACGAAGTCCAAGGTAAATAATCTGCGTTTTTATCTGTCTCTTCCAGAATTCCCCCTTGTCACCAAAATTCTCCAATTTCCCTCTCAGTTTAGTTCAATTTATTTTTTTATTTGAATCCTATTCATCTATACCAGAGATACTAATTTTTTAAAATGTTTTATATATATATGTATATATTTGTATATGCATTTTATCATTTATATATATATACATGTATATCTCTTTTTTTATCTTCCTTGGCTAATAAATTTATTTTAACTTTATGCTGTAAGTTTTGTGACAAAGTTAAAATGAAATGGGATGATGACTGGCCAAACCGGACTAATAATTAGTTGCTCTTTGACTTCGTATATGAGTATTTGCTGTTGTGTCAGGCCTCTGCAATACAAAAGAATCCTACTCAGTAGATGCTCACATGCTGTCATCTTACAGGAAAATAAAAGGTGCAGTATAAGACAACTCAGGGTGCAGTATAAGACAACTCAAGAGTGAGACATTTTGAGTCATACTTCTAAGAGCTGCATCCCAGATTTTATCATACTGCAGGAGGTGGATCTATTGCAGCTTAAACCAACCTATTTATCTTCTTAATCCCAAATTGCTCTCTGGAAGGAACACCCTGACAGCCTTGTTTCTCCACACTAGGATGCCATCTCATGGTGCTATCACACTTTAAGTGGCTTGTGAATGCTGCTTTTTCTAGCCATTTGCTAGAAGCATGGAAGTGGGTGTTGTAACCTGTCACATACCTATTCTTCTAGGTATGACAAAGAGCATTATTCACTAATGCTATTGTCTAGTTCAAATTCTGTTTTACCTAAGACCAGTAGCATGGATGTGCTTCCACAGAGGGTGGTATGTAGGGAGAAGAACGGAGAAGTGTCCTATTACAGCTTCCATTCTTGGAAAAACATGTGAATAGCTCCTACAAGGATGGGAGGGCTCTTTGGTAGCTATTTTTTAAAGAGTATTGCCAGCAAAATGTTGAATGCCTGGATTTAAGTATAAACATACTCTTCTGTTATTTTGTATGGGATTTACCATGACAAAAATACTGAATCCCAAATGTTAATAACCTTTGTTCTCCCCCTTTTTCTTTTAACCATGCCTTTCTTGCTTTAGCACTACTTTTTGTTGCTTCAGATTGTAAAGTGTCCAGTACCTGGTCTCAGAGAGCTGCATTGTTACTCTCCAGTTGAGTTCACTGCAGTTTCACCTGTGGCATGTCATGTGCCAACACTCTTGCAGTTGCATTTGTGCTTGATTGGACAGTGTGTCCACGCATTTGATGTCATCCCTCCTATGAGACCTGTGAAAAATTGGTGAATTAGGACTGAAATTTGATGACAAATTGGAAGGCTAATTATGGAGGTGTTATTGTCAAGGAATGATTGAGCCTTGCCTTGACTTCTGTGCCATTCCTAGTCTATCTGTCCTTATTTTTAATGACTACACATAGATTTGGGCATAAACCTGTTACCCTGATTGTATTTGTGAAAGTGCTTAATACTGGCATTAGCAGAGCAAGTTTCTGATAGATCCTAACAAATTTGGTTATGCCTCTTAAAATTTACTTTTAACTGGGATATGCACAAACTGTTCTCTTCCACAGTTTTCTGAGCTCCTTCAGTAACAAAATTTGAGTCAAATTGAGAAGCTCATAATCACTAATTTTTCATATTTAATAGAGAAAATGAGAGCCAAACTTTCTGGTTCCTCTTTTTCCAATTCTAGCACATAAAAAAAGGGGTTTTGAAATTCAGCATTAGGCAAAAGTTAAATCTTTTCTGTTCAAACAGATGTGGAAAGAAATGTAATTCTCTGTAGCTATTTTGACTTCATAGGCCTAGTTAGACAGAAAATAAATAACATTTTGGTCAGCAGGGCCATTGGCTTGTATTTGGAGTATGGATGTGGAGCAAATGAGATTAGTAAGACAGTTGTAGTCATTTAGTAGGGCAGGATTACTTCTAAAATTGCCACTAACTTAGGTATTTCATGTTACTTTAAACAGAAATGCCTCTCCAAATTTCTTCCTTTTTCTTTCTTGCCATTTCCCTGATTATTAGTAAAAATTGTCATAAATCCCAACATTTTTAAAAGCTGAACAATTTTTAAAGCACTTTTTCTGCGTGCAGTCTTGTGCTTTGCTGTGAGGGAAATCAGTTGTGAAACTTTTAAGAGCTTTTAGTTGTTTGTGAAACTTAAATTTCTCAAAATGTCTGTTTTCACAGTGACTCTGGAAGCACTTCAAGGTGTTGGGTTTAAAGGATTTAATCTACAAGCTCGAGAAATTGATGGAGATGTTCCTGTTGGTACATTTAAAATTACAGATCCAAACACTAAAGGCATGGAGTGTCATAATGTGACGGTACGTGTTCAGTCTTTGGAATACTTACTTGAGCTTAGTTTCCTTTTAAATACTTTAATCAGAATTGACAGAAGTAGTGAGCATTTTTTGTAAAAAAGTTATTTCATTAATAGAGTTTAAAAAATTAGACTTGCACAGGAAATACATGTATCTTCTGCATGTGGAGTGAATCTCATAGAGGCTATGTGACACTTTTTAGGAGGACATCAGTCTTACCTCAAGAGACAAAAAGGTTACTTTTGTATCTTATATAATTATATGTATTTGTTTTTAATTGCAGAATTCAGCAGTAAGTCATGCCAATTCAGATGTGAAACAGAAAGTTACAACAACATGGATTGCTCCCCATGATGTTAAAGATCTTCAATTTATGTAAATAATTGTTTATATTTTTTCTTTTTCTTTTTTTTTCCCTTGAAATTTTATTTCGATGGATTATTTTGACATGGGTTTGTGTTGCTCTTGCTGATGTTCTTGTCTTGCTGCAATTGTGGGGTTTTCATAGTTTGTCATAACTTTCCACAGTGTCCATTAAATAGCATAAAATCATAGGATCATGGAATGGTTTGGGTTGAAAACCCCTAATGCTCATCCAGTTCTAACCCTCTTCCATGGGTAGGGACACCTTCCAGTAGAGCATGTTGCTCCAAGCCCCATCCAACCTGGCCTTGAACATTGCCAGGGAGGGGGCAGCCACAGCTTCTCTGGGCAGTCTGTGCCAGGGCCTCCGTGCCCTCACAGGGAAGAACTTCTGCCTAAAAGCTCATCTTAATCCCCCCTCTGGTAGGTTAAAGCCATTCCTCTTTGTCCTGTCCCTACAGGCCCTGTCAAAAATCCTTCTCCAGCATCCTTGTAGGCCCCCTTTGGGCACTGGAGCTGCTCTAAGATCTCCCTGGAGCCTTCTCTTGTCCTGAAGAGAACAACCTGTTCCTTCTCAGCATCTGTTCTATTTATCTTCAAAATAATGCTGGATGATAACACAGTAACTGGGAAAGCCAAGTGTTCTGGGAAATGATGATGTTCTTTTCAGTTTTGGACTATATACTCTTAAAATCAAAACAGTGGATTTTCTTGGCTGGGGGCAGGGGAGGGAAGAGAGTTCATTGGTATTTTATACTAAAATAATTTGATAGAAAAATAATGGTTATTTTGTTCTGTCTCCAGTGCAACTGTTGTTCAAGATCTAGAGAAATTCTGGGTTGGAATTCAAAGCAAAACTCTCACACCTACACATTCTGAGTCAGTTAATGGGACAGGAAAAAGTAAAAGGAAGGTACGTATTGAGTGAAAGGAAACAAACAATCTAGTTATTAAAACGATCCATAGCATAAAGACAAAGAAAATCAAATTGGTCATAAGGATAACTCTATTATACTTGTGGTGTATTACGCTAATCTAAAGCATAGTACACCAACCTGAAGCCTCAGTCACTGGAACAAGAGCTGTGTAGTGTATTCTTAGAAATGAGTTTGGTTACTCTTTAGCCAAAAATTATGCTTATATGAAACATCTTAGACACAACTGGCAGCTAAAGCAAAGAGTCCGTTCAAATATACAGTATTGGTTCTTGGCTGTAGCAATACTGATTTATTTAATCTCGTGATCTAACCAAGAGTGAGCACCTTGATTTTGTCTCTCTCTCCTGTTTCCTATAATAAGTTACATTTTTTTTTTTCCCAGTAAATAATTTCTGCTCTTTCCCCCCCACAGGTTATGATAGCACTAGAATGTAAGAAGGTAAGAGCAGTTTTTCTTCAGTTTCCCAGTTTTTAGAATTCCTCTCATACTGGCCCGGTTGTTTCATGGTTGTAGCACAAAAAGTTATGTTGTCCCATTTAAATTACTTTCCTAGCAAGATCTCATTTCTGCCTATATTCTCGTATGCAGGTTTGAATTCATTTTTAATTAGTTAATTAATTAGTTTAATTAGTTAATAATTAATTTTTAATCAGTCAATGTCAGTTCTCAGATTGAATTGTTACAATGTGTGAGGTATTGTAAGCAATGAAACACTTGACTCCTTCGTTCAGACCATGAATGTGCATTCAGTTGATTTACTGTTTAAAATCGTCTAGTACTTATACACCAATCAATAAACAGTAACCGGAACCTGTATTTTCTTGCAGCTTGGGGGGACTTACTCAACACAAGGCGGATGCGTCATGGTAAGTATTCTGTCTCCAAATACATTGAAATATTGCTAATTGCTCAAGACCTCAAGAGCCAGTCAAAACCTGCTTCTACTCAAATCCTTATCCATCTTGTTGCACAAGTAATTTTTCTATTTGGTAATTTACCTTGGTTGATGAAAGTCCCAAACTTCCTAAATGGTCTTCAACCTTGTTCCCATTTCCTCCTGCCGGTTCTCTCGAGCTGATCTGGAGTAACTTTCTAAGTGAAGTTTCCTTTCTTCTGTCTTCACTTTTTAGTCATAATGCTTGCTTGCTTTTAAAGACTGCAACAGCTCTGAAAACTTGTCTTTTGCAAGTCGTCATCTACTTACAGAATTCAAGTATTTGATTTTATTTTTCTGAAAGCTATCACTTGCAGCTAAGAGAAGAAGTCTCTTTTTCTTCTTTCCTTTCTCCCACCAAATATGCCCTACATGCCATAGTGTTCAGTGATAAGTCATACCAGTAAAAAGTGTTCATATACTTTTTAATGATCTTGACAGTGTAGATCTCCTCAATGATGCACATCAAGTGTATGAGGCCAGATAAAAAAGGATGCAAGCAACTGAATTATGTTGATTTATGCCAGCTGTTTTGGTGTAGTTTTGAGTATTTGATTTTAGCTTTCAATTATTTGATTAAAAATTCAGAGATCTTTAAAGATCTCTGTGATAATTGTATCACTTGATATAATGAAGTCAGGGAAAACTATTTTGTATGTTCTTCCTTTTCCCACTAGGTAAATCTTTCTTTCATTAAAAAAATCTAAAATTTAGCTAAAAATCAATTTTCTGCAAAATAATAAAAAACATTTTGTTTTCTTTCCAGGTTGGACCTTCCAGTTCCTCTCAGAGCAGCTATTCAGGCAGTCCGGTAAGAGTTCTAACTTCCAGTAACCTCAAATGACTGAAACTCTGTAACTACAAAGTTCTCAGGTGATTTAATACTGTACTGATATATCACCTCTGCTGGCTAATGCAGAATGAGTTATTGTGCCAGTGAACTGTGTGTCCAGTACCTGGACTTGGTTCAGCTTCCTACACTCTGTTGAATTCAGTAGATTGCTGTCAGTATTCTTAACTACAAAATGCTTCACCACCCCTGATCTCACACATTAAACATTTTTATCAAGCTTTAACTTGACCCTTTTGAGGAAAGATTTCTTCCATCTTCCTAGGGGATTCCTACCTGTGTATGCAACAAACATTCTGTGCATTCAGTCAAGCTGGTTTGTTGCTGATCCCTAGGAGTGTTCCCTGTGATCTAAAACCTTTGCATATAGAAACAAGAAGGGTGAGATGTCCCTGCCCATGGCAGGGGGTTGGAATTGGATGATTTTAAGGTCCTTTTCAACCCAAACACTTCTACGATTCTAAGAAGTAAAAGGACCCCCCTATTGTGTGCAGTTCCTTTCAGAAAGAGGAAACTGCAGAGGTGGAATAATTTCTTTTCCATTTGTCATAGTGAGAATGATAATTTTATAAAGCAAGCATAAGCATTTGTATTGTAATCCAAATATATTGTTATAGAATCATAGAATGGTTTGGATTGGAAAGGACCTTGACGATCTAGTTCCAACCCCTCTATGGTTGGTCTCCATGATCTTAAAGGTGTTTTCCAACCTAAATGATTCTGTGGTTCTATGGTATTTATAAAACACAGAACCATAAAATCATTTCTTTTATAGTTTTAGAATTATACTTGTGTTTCACTGCCTTCCCCACAAATTTTCTCCAAACTTCACCAGATATTCATGTGTATATTAAAGCTCCACTATAATGTCTGTATCACTTTTAACAGCAGATTATACTTGCAGTTGAAAATTTAGGGGCTTCACTGACTAGTTAGCCTTTTAAAGCTTCTGGGGAATGCATGTCTGCATTCTCACCAATTGCTTTCACTTCCTTAATCACGGAAATGGATACTTGTGTTCTAGTTAATTACCTCCACTACCATAACATGCCTATTTGCACTTGAACTATCAGATGCTTTCTGGTATGTCTCCAGTTTCTTGAACTGAGCTTCTCAAAGATGTATTTCTTACTACTTATTAATGAATTATCTGGTAATACTATGTTAGTTCAGTTTTCTTTGTATTTCCTTCAGTTATGATACATACTCTTTTCTAAGAGTTAAGTTTCTCATCTTCTCACTTAACTGCATGAAGTTATTTATTTTTTCTAAAATACAGACCATTTAGTAAAACAACTTGCAGCTTTTGAAAGGTTGTACGACAAATGGCAAAGTTATACAAGGTCCAGATGATGACTGACTTAGAATTGATACTGGCCAGATGCCGGTGAACTGGTAACCTTTGTACTTGCTTATCCCCTGTTTGCACATACACGTTCTCAATTGTGCAACTTTTCACACCATAAGCAGTAGGGCTTATCTTTTTTTCTGCCCCCCCTTTATTCTTTACATGGAAATAACTGACTGCTGTTTTTATTTCAGAATGCAGTAGTCTACACAATAAGCAAGAATGGATGTGGCCCTGTAAGCATTTCTCTTACTTTTGCTTTTTTGTCCCCAACATAACTATACTTATACCAACTCCTAACCTTCGACTGCATTATTTATGAGTGTTTATGTGGGAGTTTCTTTTGTAAATAGAAAATACTGGAGTGAGCAAGAAGATGAATATTACAGTTTATTCAATGTTATGAAGTACTTGGCAAACAGAGGTGTTAAAAAGTTAAATAGAAACATATGGATCATGGAATCATGATCCATGCATAACATTACACTCATGCAGGTTGTCTGTTCTCCCCTTCTACTTAAGACAAAACTGATGCAAATTGGTCTGCATGTTCTAAGTTGCTACTCAGTATAAAAAATGACAAAAAAGCTTGAAACAGTCAAGTTTAGTCTTTCTGTGTCGATGACAGGGTTTTGCTTGTTTTTTCATAGTATAGCAAGTAAACAAAAATGCGGTAGTCATAGGTAAGCATTGTCGGTTGCCACTTCCAATTAGAAGAAGGGGGATGACACAGCTCCAACAAGGACAATGTTTACAAAAATGTAAACCATTCCTGTCATTTTGTAAACTGTAAAATTCATCACAATGTATATTGTGTGTTTGCAAACAACAAAGTTACAGTTTGGAGGGGGACCGTTGATTGGATTAATAAGTGAGATTTCCTTTAAAGAAGGAGCTATCATGGCTTATGCTGGACCTTGATATTTTATAGTTGATTGACTGTAAGTCAGGGAGGTGTTAATTCTTACTTCTTTCAAGTTTCTACTTCCTAATTTTTACATATATGTGTACATACACATGACATAGATTATAAGTTTGAATCACAAGCTTTACATTAAATCTTGATTATTTATTTCCATTAATAAATGTCTTGACAGTGTCTGTTTTAAAATGTTTCCTGAGTACCACTAAATAATCATGAATATACAAGTGGCTATTTTGCCTGGTTTCTGAAGTGTGCCTTTAAGCAATTACAGAAGAGAAATAACTGATTTCATTTTGTTCTTAGGGGGGTGCTGCTGATGCCTATAGTCAACAAGCCTGTAGAGATGTAAGTTGGTTATATATGTGTTTACTGGTTGTCTAATACTGTGCTCATCTCCTTACTACAAATTGTATTTTGTTCACATCTGCAGAGTTATATTATTCTTCCTAAATATACTAAGGAAACTGGAGGTAGGCTGAGGTATTATTCTGAGGTTAAAAACCAAGATTAAAAGGTGATGCACTCACTTCCTCAGAAAGTAACAATTTATGTTACAGTTGGTACTCATTGCCTGTTATAAATGCCTAATTTGTTAGCTTACTAAAATGTCAGAATTCCTAACTGCATAATGCTCTTTGTCCAATAGAGTAATTGTCTTTGGCTATTGCATATTGTGCAATACTATTTGGGTTTCTTTTTGCAATCTTTGTGTATTAATCAAATGATTTTTTAATAAGTAATTCCTATTGTCAATCTCAGTCATTTCATTTTCACCTGAAAACAGGTTTATTTCAAAACCTGACATATTTCCCATTTTTAAAACCATAAAAGCAAATAAGAAAACACTCTCAAATATCTGTTAGAAACTGAAACTGTAGACAAGAAACTGCTTAATGATATGCTTAACTTTAAATAAATCATTAGATATGTTAATTCCTAAATGTTAAATACATTTCACCTTTGCTTACTATGTAAGTGTAAACTGTATTTGTGTGCAGTAGAATGTTGGAAAATCTTCAGTTGTGTTTAAGCAAGTTCTGTCTACTTTACTACTGCTCTAGATTTATTTACATAGAGATAAAATCAGTTTGATTTGAAGTGTACATCCTCTAAGGAAAAAGAACTGATGACTTTTCTATACAATTAACAAATCATTATATAAATATATACCTGATTTCTGTTTTTATTTCAGAGTGCATCCTCCAGCAGTGGTATTTCCTACGGCCTGGTAACTATGTGCTTTCCAAAATGTTTTCAGCTTCCTAAGCTGTTCAGAAACCAAGCAGTAATGCCAAACTTTTACCAAATAGTAATTAAATTCATGGAAGGGGATAGAGGGGCACTGTATCCAAATGCTTAAGTGGTAATGGAAATAACTTCAACAGATGAATTATATGCTTAATTCATGTTGTAATATCAGCTTTGTTAGAATTTATTTACTTCTGGTTTGCACAGAAGCTCCATTATATTTGTTCTGTGAATGAACACCAGTTACTTTTATTATGATTTTCCAAAAGTCAGTTCTTTCTTTGATAGTTACTATGAATTAAAAGTGTATTTTGTGGCTTTTGCCTGTGCAATTGTATACATGAGTTGCTGAAATGCAAAACTTTGCTGCAGATTATTTCATGCTTCTTTTAAAGCATTTCTCATCTTATGGCACATCCCATTTATTCAAGTTCACATTTCAACAGTAGGCTTTTCATTTTGGGTGGAATGGAGTTTGGGTTATTTTCTGTCTTGATGATGGTAGAAGAGATTAATTTTTGTTTCTACCAAGAGTTTATTATAAACAAATTCCCAATTGGATGTTGGATAAAGCATTTGCAGCTCTTACACAGTGCTGTGGGAAGCTCACAAAATAACTGGGGTTTGTAGGAAAAAATTAAACCAGGTGATTTCTTTCAGTCTTTCATGTATTCATTGCCAATACTTCAATATTTTTCGTCAGAATCTTATTTTGCTTGGTATTTTCGGGAAATTATGTTAGCTCTAACATTATTGTGACAAATAGTGCTGTAATTAATTTGTCATACACTTACCTAAGTAACAAATGGATTCTGTATTCTTTACAGTCTGTGCCTTCAAGCAGTTCAGAGTCCACTAAGAAGGTAAGCTCTCCTTTTCAACTCAAAGGGAAAACATACTTAGAGATAGATTGTCATTACTCCTTTTATTTCAGTGGTGCTACAGTTCCTTTTACCAGCTGGACAGAGCCTTGGATGACATGGTCATGAGGCGACACTGCCCATGGCAGGAGGTTGGAACTGGATGATCACTCCTTCCATTGATGATGTGGGACGGAATTGGAAAATTCAGTCCATAAATGACTGGCTTCAAGGCTGGTGCTGTAGGCAGGGCTTTGGATTCTTTGATAACGGCTGGTTTTATAGGGCACCAGTCTGGACAATGGCATGTGGGAAAGGTTTATCTCACAGAGGTAAAAGGATGCTGGGGCACGAATTAGCAGGGCTCATTTGGAGAGCTTTAAACTAGATTCGAAGGGGGATGGGGTTGTAGCTGGGCGTGCCCCAGTGGGGCAGCACTCCAGAATTGATGAAGACTGGGAGGCCTCCTGTAATCCTAGGGTGAAATCGGTGTGCTCAGCTCGCTCCCTGAAATGTCTGTACACCAATGCGCGCAGCATGGGAAATAAGCAGGAGGAGTTAGAAACCTGTGTTAAGTCAGGAGATTATGACCTGGTGGCAATTACAGAGACGTGGTGGGACAGCTCACATGACTGGAATATGGTCATGGAGGGCTATGTCCTTTTCAGGAAAGACAGGCCAGCCAGGCGGGGTGGTGGGGTTGCTCTTTATGTGCGAGAGCAGCTACGATGCACTGAGTTCTGTCCGGGGACAGATGATGAGCGAGTTGAGAGTCTGTGGGTGAGAATTAAGGGGCAGGCTGGCGGGGGCGATACTGTTGTGGGGGTCTGTTACAGGCCACCGGATCAGGGTGAGGAAGTTGACGAGGCCTTCTACAGGCAGCTGAGAGCGGCCTCACAGTCACAGGCCGTGGTCGTCATGGGGGATTTTAACTTCCCTGATGTTTGCTGGAAGGGCTACTCGGCAACCCAGCTGCAGTCCAGGAGGTTCCTCCAGTGTGTGGATGATAACTTCCTCATGCAAATGGTGGATGAGCCAACCAGGAGAGGAGCGCTGCTGGATCTCATCCTCACTAACAAGGAGGGTCTGGTCGAAGCAGTGAAGGTTGAGGGCTGCCTTGGTTGCAGCGACCATGAGATGGTGGAATTCAGGATCTTGTGTGGTAGGGTCAGTAGAATAGCAAGTAGAATCGCAACCCTGGACTTTAGCAGGGCAAACTTTGGCCTCTTCAAGCAATTGCTAGGGGAAATCCCATGGGCGAGACTGCTGGAAGGTAAAGGGGCCCAAGATAGTTGGTTGGCATTCAAGGACTGCTTTTTCCGAGCTCAAGATCAGAGCATCCCGACACGTAGGAAGTCAAGGAAGAGGGCCAGGAGACCTACATGGCTAAACAGGGAATTGCTGGATATGCTAAAGTGGAAGAGGAGAGTTTACAGGTCATGGAAGGAGGGGCTGGCCACTTGGGAGGAATATAAGGCTGCTGCTAGAGGATGTAGGAAAGCTGCTAGGATGGCTAAGGCCTCCTTGGAATTAAAGCTGGCGAGAGGGGTCAGAGACAGCAGAAAGAGCTTTTTCAAATACATGGCAGATAAAACTGACACCAGAGGCAATGTAGGCCCGCTGATGAATGGGATGGGTGCCCTGGTGACAGAAGATACAGAGATGGCAGAGTTACTGAATGACTTCTTTGTCTCTGTCTACTCTGCCGGAGGCAGTCCTGAAGAGCCCTGTACCGCTGAGACCTCAGATGAAGAGAGGTCAACGGAGCGGTCTGCCTTAGTCGATGAGGAATGGGTTAGAGACCAGTTGAGCAATCTGGACATCCATAAATCCATGGGTCCAGATGGGATGCACCCGTGGGTGCTGAGGGAGCTGGCGGAGGTCATTGCTAGACCACTCTCCATCATCTTTATCAAGTCTTGGGAAACGGGAGAGGTGCCTGAGGACTGAAGGAAAGCAAATGTCACTCCAGTCTTCAAAAAGGGCAAGAAGTAGCACCCGGGTAACTATAGACCAGTCAGCCTCACCTCCATCCCTGGGAAAGTGATGGAACACCTTATCCTTGGTGCCATCTTAAGGCATATCAAGGATAAGAGGGTTATGAGGGGCAGTCAACATGGCTTCACAAAGGGGAAGTCATGCTTGACCAATCTCGTAGCCTTTTATGAGGAAATAACACGGTGGATGGATGATGGCAGAGCGGTGGACGTGGTCTACCTTGACTTCAGCAAAGCGTTTGACACGGTCTCCCACAGCATCCTCACAGCTAAATTGGGGAAGTGTGGTCTGGATGATCAGGTAGTGAGGTGGACTGTGAACTGGCTGAAGGAGAGAAGCCAGAGAGTTGTAGTCTACGGGGTGGAGTCTAGTTGGAGGCCTGTATCTAGTGGAGTGCCTCAAGGGTCGGTTCTGGGACCAGTATTATTTAATATATTCATCAATGATTTAGATGAGGGAATTGAGTGTACTATCAGCAAGTTTGCTGATGACACTAAGCTGGGAGGGGTGGCCGACACGCCAGAAGGCTGTGCTGCCATCCAGTGAGACCTGGACAGGCTGGAGAGCTGGGCGGGGAATAACTTGATGAAATATAACAAGGGAAAGTGTAGAGTCCTGCATCTGGGCAGGAACAACCCCAGGTTCCAGTATAGGCTGGGGAACGACCTGTTAGAGAGCAGTGTAGGGGAGAGGGACCTGGGGGTCCTGGTGGACGACAGGGTGACCATGAGCTGACACTGTGCCCTTGTGGCCAAGAAGGCCAATGGCATCCTGGGGTGTATTAGAAGGGGGGTGGTTAGTAGGTCGAGAGAGGTCCTCCATCCCCTCTACTCTGCCCTGGTGAGACCTCATCTGGAATACTGTGTCCAGTTCTGGGCCCCTCAGTTCAAGAAGGACAGGGACCTGCTGGAGAGAGTCCAGCGCAGGGCAACTAGGATGATTAAGGGAGTGGAGCATCTCCCTTATGAGGAAAGGCTGAGGGAGCTGGGTCTCTATAGTTTGGAGAAGAGGAGATTGAGGGGTGACCTTATTAGTGTATATAAATATATAAAGGGGGAGTGTCACGAGGATGGAGCCAGGCTCTTCTCAGTGGCAAACAATGATAGGACAAGGGGCAATCGATACAAACTGGAACACAAGAGGTTCCACTGAAACTTGAGAAGAAACTTCTTCTCAGTGAGGGTGACAGAACACTGGAACAGGCTGCCCAGGGAGGTTGTGGAGTCTCCTTCTCTGGAGACATTCAAAACCCGCCTGGACACGTTCCTGTGTAACCTTATCTAGGTGTTCCTGCTCTGGCAGGAGGACTGGACTAGATGATCTTTTGAGGTCCCTTCCAATCTCTAACATACTGTGATACTGTGATACTGTGATCTTAAGGTCCTTTCCAACCCAAACCATTCCATTATTCTAAGGCTTCTCAAGGTTTTAACCCAGACTGATTCATATGATTTGAATCAGTTTGGCTCTTGCATGCTTTATCCTAACTAGCTGTGCTGTGGTGGCTTTTGTTGGTAGTTGACCTAACTGTATATAAAATAAGATCCATACATGTTTATGGTGGTTTGCTTTTAAATAGTTAGCACAGTGACTGTGAGGTAATGAGGACTTTAAAGGATATAGGTTATGCAGTTATTTAGATGGGGCTGGAGAATGAGTGTGGCTCAAAGCAAGTGAAATGAATAGAATTCATATTACTGTATTTGACTGATAATATTTACATGGACTGTTCCTTTCATTTCAGCCCCCAGGAGTGCAGGGCTTATTCTACGGTGTATGTACACCATTGTGTAAACTTAATGTACCCATTCATGTCCTCACAGATCTAGTTTTTGTTTAATTTCCCATTGTTCTAAGAATTCAAAACATCCTGATAGATTATTTTTTGTAATGGCTACTTTTGAAAGCATAATACTTCTCCCTGGTTTATACTAGAATTCTTTTCTTCTGATAGCACCAACTCTTCATTTTTTGCACCACTGGATAATACAAACTGTTTTCAGTCAAAAAAAGTAAAATAAGGTGGGAAGAGAAGCTTCTAATTAGTATTAAAACCTTTACAGAAGTTACTACTACTGCACTTGGCTTCATTTTTTTTAACAAACTCAATACGAAGCCTTTTTTTTTTTAGCATAATGCTGAATAAAGAGGAAAGAAATCGATCTTCCATTTTGAGGTGGAAAGTTGAAGACCAAAAAGGACACACAGTATAGGCCAATGGGTTTGGTACAATACATGAAATCCTGCTTCTGCCTATACAGCTGAGTCCTTGTGTGACTGAGAGCAAGTGTTTAACTCCTTACACTCTTGTATAATATATATATTTGCTTGGTAATGTGCATTGAATGTGTTTATAAAAATAGTATTTTATAAAAGCGATTGTACATAGCATTATTATTAGAGTTTGTAAATTTAGAGAACTCTGTATTCTGTTTCCTAACATATTGCACTATCAAAGTAAACTCTATGATGAATAAGTGGCTTTCTCTTATTCCTCTGTAGGTAGTGGTGGTGGCCAACAGCAACCCTTTTCCACCTGTGGTAAGCACTTTTTCTCTACGCTACTTGAACTTCTGACTCAAAAAGCTTTGAAATACCTACAGGCTTAATTTGTCAGAAACGTTCCTGGTGTACGGAGACAACCCTTGGCAGGCATAGTTTACCCTAGGTGCACAGTTATCTTCAGGGAAAGCCAGTATTAAGATAGCTACAAAACTCATGGTTCTATGATTGCTATTACTACTTGCAGAGATATTGGATTAGCTGCAGATTTCAGGTTTCTCAATGCATACGGTATCTGTTCCTGAATAGTTTTATTGTTCTTTTTTCTGTATCTATTGCAGTTCACTTTTACTCTCATTTTTAAACTGTTCAATTTCCACTCTGCTCACTTGGAGCTCACACAGTCAGTCAAAAGTAAATTTAGCCTGAAGGTGGTTAAAGAAAGTTTCTATGATGAAACATCTGATATATATGTTTCTCTGATGTCTAGTTTCTAGTCAAACATCTTATTGTTCTAACCTGAGTGACGATAATAAACCATTTGTCCTATGCTATCCTTCCTATATCTTTCTTTCACATTTGGTTGTGTATTGTATCCAAAAGATAGGGCCCTTTTTCTCCTGCAATGTTCTGTTGGACAAGCCCTTGTACAAAATAACTAAAGGTTGTTTTCTTTCATTTGTAGCGTCACACCTATCCCCAGGTAAGCAGACTTTTATTATTTCTGTAACAGGAATGTGGTTCTTATGGGATCAAACCAGTTGCCTCAGGGCGGTGTCTGCTACCGTTTTACCCTCATGCCACCAAATACAGAAAACAAATGACTAAATCAGTAATTGAATTAGTCTGTGTGGCGAGATATGTCCAATGCAGGTGACGGTGAGACAAGTCGGAGGGTTGATGGTGTCTTAAGCTTCACTCACCATATCTTAAGCCAAGCTCACTGGTTGTTTAAAGAGGGCATAGCCTCTTCTCTGCTGCTCTCCACAGAAACTGCAATAGAAGCAGGTGCAAATGTAGAAAATTGCTTAGTAGAGAGCTGAGGATAAAAAAACCTAGCTTATTGCTGGGTGTTAACACTTTAATGCTCAATATATTGCATATACAATCTTTCCCTTTATTCTCCCAAGCAAACCAGTACAACTTTGTGTTTTCTGATTAACTGCACTCCATTTAAACAAGTCAAATTCTATGTTATCTGATGTGGGGTTGTGGTTTATTTTTTCTTTCAGAGTTTGGGAAGTTCTGCTGCTAGGGTCGTTATACAGGTAGACATTCTTTCTCCATTATACTCAAGTTTTGACTGAAGCCCTGTGTCAGTAAACTAATGATTCATCTCTTTGTGAATAACTAAATATGAATACCTTATGGGTATCTTAGATATCCATAGACTACAGTGGTGGAGTAAGGGGTTTCTGTGGTTACAGAAAAGTGGTATCTTACTTGGCTGCTGATTAAAGACCATTGCATGTTTTCCACAGCAAAAAAATATGAAAACCTCTGTATGCTCCTTCCATAGTGCTCTCAAAATCTGTGAAATTTAACCATCTCAGCCTACTCAGCAAGATGCATGGAATTCTAGAACTTAAGTTCGAATGTTATTCACTATTAAATCAAATATGCATAAATCCTAACCTGAACAGTTCCATGTTCACTTAAATAGTCTATCTTTAAAATAGAAACAACTAGTTTAGTATTATGGCTATCACTCAGGAGTATTTTTTCTGGGTCCTTTGCAATTTTAACCTACCTACTGTTCTTCACAGTTTAGGCTTTCCTTCCTTTGTATGGTAGTCCTTCAAACTGTAACAAGTTCTCACTTCCATTGAAAAATCAGTAGCAAGTTACCACAGCTGAAATTTGTCTATTGAACATCATTGTTTGCAAAATGTATAACATTAGATTCTACCATCTAGTAGATATAAGGATAGAGTTGCTTTTTTTTTTTTAAAGTTTTTTTTTTTTTTTAAAGTAAATAACCATTTTTTGGTCCCTATGTAGAGTGCACCAAGACCACAAAGCAGCAGTACTTACGTTCTGGTAAGTGAATTTATTTCTGTAGGCTTCACTAAAACAGGGCCACCCCAACTTGGAAATCAGTTATTTCCTACATGTTCAAATGTAATTTCACAGGGTGCAGGTACTTCTATTTCTCTGGGGTTTTGTTTGTAAAATTGTCACCTGGTATTGTTGTTCAGCTATTTTTGATTGAAATGCTCATAAATGTATTTCAATTTGTGGTCAGTTGAAGTGGAATATCTGCATACTACTCAGTGTGTCTTCTAAAAGGGGCATAAAAGTCATGACACTGAGAGTAAGTGATTCTAGGCTCAGTATCACACCATAAATCTTATACTAGTAGATTCAGATCCCATGTATATTAGATCTCACATAGTTGCTTATCCACATTGTGAGCAATGGAGAATCATAAAGTCAAACCTATGTGGAATGTCTTTCAGCCTTGCTAAACCCCATGCAGATAAAGCTACTTATGTAGTGTGTGATTTAACAAATACTACCATAATGATAATAGAAATTGTTGCAGAGGAACACATTCATAGTATGAGCTCAGGTAAGAAGGATCTTCAGAATTCCTTCGATTTGGAGGCAGACAAAAAAAAAAGAAAAGACAAATGTTTGTCAATAGTCTCTATACCACAACATGCACTCAGGAAGATGTTTCAGAAGGGTAGGTATGACTTCTAGGGATCAAAGCCCAGGGAGACAAGTACTCAACAGCACTAACAATCAGTATGCAAAAGGCTGGGAGTCTGCATCTGAAATTGATTCAAGTCTTTCACTTAGAACAGGGCAACCTATTTGCTGAACAGATGCTAGCAGCCTGCTCTGTCTGCTTTGGCTCAGGATAAACCTTTCTGCAAAACCCTTGTGCATCTATACTTTTGTAAACATGATGCTCTCTATAGAAGCCTCTTGTCAAGGTGTTAATTACCTTCTCTTTTTTACAGACTCCCCAGAGCAGCCAATACTCTGGCCAGGTGAGATTTCTTCCTGGAATGCAGTGAGCTTTTCTCTAGGATCCTGCCTTGCAAATGGGCTTTGGGGTTTGGCCGGGGTTTTTCCTCCTTGGTGTTTCTGAGTGGTCCTTGATTTTGGTTTGTGCCACTGAGTGAAGAAGAAAGAACTGAGCACAGAGGAACTGTTAGTGGAAACGGGCTGTTCTGTTGCAGCACTGCTGACACTACAGCTTTACTTACAGCTGACTTCTTGCCTTTCTTACAGGGCTCCCGACCTCAAAGTGTTTCTTACAGCCTGGTAAGTATCTGCCCGTCACCAGTCAGAACACAGCATAGTAACTAGGAGAGTGCCATGGCACTGCAAAAGCACTCAGCAAGCTCTCACAATGGCAACTTTGAAGGACGTTTTCCTGAACATCTGTATTTTCACACTCAATATGCTTTCTTATCTGGAATCCCAGCACATGAAATCATTGCACTCAGCATCATTGTGAGGGCCAGGAGGAAGTCTGGGCTCTTCATACTGCCCCGCACAGCTTTAGGATGTAGTTGCTTCCTCTTCCTAACGCAGGATGGATCCCTTACAAAAGGGGAGTAAGCATGTGTCCTTGTCCTAGTGTGGGCCAAGTTCCTGGGGCAGTAGCAGTTCTTATGGCCAGGGAAGCAAATTGGCCATTCCGTAGAAAGTTCTTCACTGACCCTTCTCTGTGACCAGCACCACTGGCAGGGTTTTGATGTTTCCTTTGGCAGTTGCATCTCAAATGGGTTCAGTGCTTTCACTGAGAATAGGGCAACCTATTTGCTGCAGAGATGCCAGCAGCCTGCTCTGTCTGCTTTGGCTCAGGATGAGCCTTTCTGGGAAACACTTGTGCAGCTATACTTTCATAAACATGATGCTCTCTATAGAAGCCTCTTGTCAAGGTGTTAATTACCTTCTCTTTTTTACAGACTCCTCAAAGCAGCCAATACTCTGGCCAGGTAAGATTTCTTTCCTGAAATGCAATGAGCTCTTCTCTAGGGGTCCTGCTTTGCAAATGGGCTTTGGGGTTTGGCTGGGGTTTTTTTCTTCTTGGTTTTTTTCTTCTTGGTTTTTGTGAGTGGTCCTTGGCTTTAATTTGTGCCACCAAGTTAACATGAAGGAAAAAGAACCTAGCACATTGTATATACTGAAATATATATTGTATATACAGAGGAGCTGTTAGTGGAAATGGGCTGTTCTGTTGTAGCTCTGCTGAGACTACAGCTTTGCTTACAGCTGAGTTCTTGTCTTTCTTACAGGGCTCCCGGCCTCAAAGTGTTTCCTACACCCTGGTAAGCATTTGCCTATCACCAGTCAGAACACAGCACTGTAGCAGTGGAGTGCCATACCACTGCAAAAGCACTCAGCAAGGTCTCAAAATTCTAAGTTAGAAGGACATTTTATATGAACATATGAATTCTCATACTCAGACTTTATCCATGTGCTACTTTCTTCTCTGGAATCTCAGCACATGAAATCATTGCACTCAGCATCACTGTGTAGGCCAGAAGGAAGTCTGGGCTCTTCATACTGCCCTGCACAGCTTTAGGATGTAGTTGCTTCCTCTTCCTAACGCAGGATGGATCCCTTACAAACGGGATTAAGCACATGTCATTGTCCTAGTGTGGGCCAAGTTCTTGGGGCAGTAGCAGTTCTTATGGCTGGGGAAGCAAACTGGCCATTCCGTAGCAAGTTCTTCACTGACCTCTCTGTGACCTGCACCACTGGCAGGTTTTTGATGATTCCTTTCTCAGTTGCATCTCAAATTGATTCAGTTCTTTCACTGAGAATAGGGCAACCTATTTGCTGCACAGATGCCAGTAGCCTGCCCTGTCTGCTTTGGCTCAGGATGAGCCTTTCTGGGAAACCCTTGTGCTGCTATACTTTCATAAATAGTATGCTACTTATAGAAGCCTCCTGGTTAAGGTGTTAATTACCTTCTCTTTTTTACAGACTCCCCAGAGCAGCCAATACTCTGGCCAGGTGAGATTTCTTCCTGAAATGCAATGAGCTTTTCTCTAGGATCCTGCCTTGCAAATGGGCTTTCAGTTTTGGCCAGGGTTTTTCCTTCTTGGTGTTTCTGAGTGGTCCTCGGTTTTGGTTTGTGTCACTGATTTGACATGAAGGAAAAAGAACTGAGCACAGAGGAACTGTTAGTGGAAACGGGCTGTTCTGTTGCAGCACTGCTGACACTACAGCTTTACTTACAGCTGACTTCTTGCCTTTCTTACAGGGCTCCCGACCTCAAAGTGTTTCTTACAGCCTGGTAAGTATCTGCCCGTCACCAGTCAGAACACAGCATAGTAACTAGGAGAGTGCCATGGCACTGCAAAAGCACTCAGCAAGCTCTCACAATGGCAACTTTGAAGGACGTTTTCCTGAACATCTGTATTTTCACACTCAATATGCTTTCTTATCTGGAATCCCAGCACATGAAATCATTGCACTCAGCATCATTGTGAGGGCCAGGAGGAAGTCTGGGCTCTTCATACTGCCCCGCACAGCTTTAGGATGTAGTTGCTTCCTCTTCCTAACGCAGGATGGATCCCTTACAAAAGGGGAGTAAGCATGTGTCCTTGTCCTAGTGTGGGCCAAGTTCCTGGGGCAGTAGCAGTTCTTATGGCCAGGGAAGCAAACTGGCCATTCCGTAGAAAGTTCTTCACTGACCCTTCTCTGTGACCAGCACCACTGGCAGGGTTTTGATGTTTCCTTTGGCAGTTGCATCTCAAATGGGTTCAGTGCTGTCACTGAGAATAGGGCAACCTATTTGCTGCAGAGATGCCAGCAGCCTGCTCTGTCTGCTTTGGCTCAGGATGAGCCTTTCTGGGAAACACTTGTGCAGCTATACTTTCATAAACATGATGCTCTCTATAGAAGCCTCTTGTCAAGGTGTTAATTACCTTCTCTTTTTTACAGACTCCTCAAAGCAGCCAATACTCTGGCCAGGTAAGATTTCTTTCCTGAAATGCAATGAGCTCTTCTCTAGGGGTCCTGCTTTGCAAATGGGCTTTGGGGTTTGGCTGGGGTTTTTTTCTTCTTGGTTTTTTTCTTCTTGGTTTTTGTGAGTGGTTCTTGGCTTTAATTTGTGCCACCAAGTTAACATGAAGGAAAAAGAACCAAACACATTGTATATACTGAAATATATATTGTGTATACAGAGGAGCTGTTAGTGGAAATGGGCTGTTCTGTTGTAGCTCTGCTGAGACTACAGCTTTGCTTACAGCTGAGTTCTTGTCTTTCTTACAGGGCTCCCGGCCTCAAAGTGTTTCCTACACCCTGGTAAGCATTTGCCTATCACCAGTCAGAACACAGCACTGTAGCAGTGGAGTGCCGTAGCACTGCAAAAGCACTCAGCAGGCTCTTGCAATCGCAACTTTCAAGGGCAATTCTTGTGAATATGGGTACTCTTACACTGAAAATACTTTCTTCTCTGGAATCTCAGCACATGAAATCATTGCACTCAGCATCACTGTGTAGGCCAGGAGGAAGTCTGGGCTCTTCATACTGCCCTGCACAGCTTTAGGAGGTAGTTGCTTCCTCTTCCTAAAGCAGGACGGATCCCTTACAAACGGAATTAAGCACATGTCATTGTCCTAGTGTGGGCCAAGTTCTTGGGGCAGTAGCAGTTCTTATGGCCAGGGAAGCAAACTGGCTATTCCTTAGGAAGTGCTTCACTGACCCCTCTGTGGCTAGCACCACTGGCAGGTTTTTTTGGCAGTTGCATCTCAATTGATTCAATAGTTTCACTGAGAATAGGGCAACCTATTTGCTGCACAGATGCCAGCAGCCTGCTCTGTCTGCTTTGGCTCAGGATGAGCCTTTCTGGGAAACCCTTGTGCAGCTATACTTTCATAAATAGTATACTCTTTATAGAAGCCTCCTTGTTAAGGTGTTAATTACCTTCTCTTTTTTACAGACTCCCCAAAGCAGCCAATACTCTGGCCAGGTGAGATTTCTTTCCTGGAATGCAATGAGCTTTTCTCTAGGATCCTGCCTTGCAAATGGGCTTTCGGGTTTGGCCAGGGTTTTTCCTCCTTGGTGTTTCTGAGTGGTCCTCGGTTTTGGTTTGTGTCACTGATTTAACATGAAGGAAAAAGAACTGAGCACAGAGGACCTGTTAGTGGAAACGGGCTGTTGTGTTGCAGCACTCCTGACACTACAGCTTTACTTACAGCTGACTTCTTGCCTTTCTTACAGGGCTCCCGACCTCAAAGTGTTTCCTACGGCCTGGTAAGTAGCTGTCAGAACACAGCACATGAGCCAGTGAAGTGCCATGACACTACAAATTGTAGCAAATCTGTAATTCTTTTTTTCCTCAATTTTACTGATCTCTTCAGAAAGAACAAATCTGAATCCTTTTCAAATCTTTATTTGTTAAAGTGACAGTTGTGCTTGTAATGTATATCTGCCGGAAGCATGAGTTACTGTTGCTGTCTGATATTTTATATGTGTATGGAACTTCAAACTTTATGGTATAGTCTATTTACTGTTGTTCTAGTTGATTTACATGTTACAAGGCGAATTTACAGTAAGTTTTTCGCTGTCCCCTTTGGTCCCGGTACAGAGAAACAGTGTTGAGGAGCTAAAGAATATTGACTTAGGTCCTTAGATGCAGAAAGATTTGGTCTTCAAGCCTGCAGTTGATAAATGTTCACCTCCCTTTACAGTTTCCACGTGAATTAAAGCAGCCCTAAGATAGCTCTGAATTTTGTCAGGATCTTTATGTCAGATGGCAGAAGTACACAAGATAATTCCAATTCTTTTTGGTAATCCCTGACTTCATAACCCTCCCAGAAAGCTGTTGCACATGTCTGAATGTACATGAAGCACCTGCATTTGTTTGACATTCTGTTGAAGGCAAATTGCTTCATCAGCGTATAGTTATCCATAGTACTGGCGTCCTTGATTGATTCATTTGACCTGCTACTTTTAATTGCATTGTTTCCATTTTAGGAATCTTTATCTTTTTGTCAGATTCTTTCTTATTTTTTTCAAATTATTTTTCACCTTTATTTTCCCTCAGAGGAAGGGAATTTTGCAGATGTGGCCCAATAATACAAGTACAGGAAATCAAATGTTGTGGATGCCCCATACAAGGCCAGTTTAGACGGGGCTTGGAGCAACCTACTGTAGTGGAAGGTGTCCCTGCGTATGGCAGGGGGTTGGAACTGTATGAGCTTTAAGGTCCCATTCAACCCACACTAGTCTGTGACTCTAAGATTCACTTACCGTTAGCCATCTAAGCCCAAGGTCCGACAACAGCAGGCAAAAGAAACACAATCAGAAAATATTGTGTCTCTTGAATGTGCTGGGAAACCATTATAATAGTAAAGTCCCACCTGAGATGGACATAAAAATATTCTGTGATTGTCATTTGATAAATACTGTGTGATCAGATATTCATCCAGAATTAAAAGATTAAAATAACTCCAGTAAAGCAGCAAAGATTGTACATTCTCTGTTGTATTCTGGGTGGGTTTGCTCACAAAGAGACAAGATTGAGAGAGGCGTCTACTTCATCAACAGAATAATTATGAATCACTAATTCCTTTCTTACAGGGCTCCCGGCCTCAAAGTGTTTCATACAGCCAGGTAAGCATCTGTCAGTAACAGTCAGAATACAGTACTGTAGCAAGTGGACTGCTACAGCACTGCAAAAGCACTTTGGCAGTCATTCACAATTCCAGCTTTGAATGACAGTTCTCTTTTCATAGGGTCCCCAGAGCAGCCAGTACTCTGGCCAGGTGAGATTTCTTTCCTGAAATGCAATGAGCTTTCCTCTAAGCCCTCCTTTACAAATGAGCTTTGGGGTTTGGCTGGGATTTTTCCTTCTTGGTGTTTCTGAGTGGTCCTTGGTTTTTGGTTTGTGAGTTACCTTGAGGGAAAAAAGAACCGAGCACAGAGGAACTGTTAGTGGAAACGGGCTGTTCTGTTGCAGCACTGCTGACACTACAGCTTTACTTACAGCTGACTTCTTGCCTTTCTTACAGGGCTCCCGACCTCAAAGTGTTTCCTACACCCTGGTAAGTATCTGCCCGTCACCAGTCAGAACACAGCATTGGAGCACGTGGAGTGCCATAGCACTGCAAAAGCACTCAGCAAGCTCTCACAATTGCAGCTTTTAAGGATGTTTTCCCTGAACATCTGTATTTTCACACACAAAATGCTTCCTTATCTGGGATCCCAGCAATGACATCCTTCCACTCAGTGTCATTGTGAGGGCCAGGAGGAAGTCTGGGCTCTTCATACTGCCCCGCACAGCTTTAGGATGTAGTTGCTTGCTCTTCCTAATGCAGGCTGCATCCCTTACAAAAGGGGAGTAAGCATGTGCCCTTGTCCTAGTGTGGGCCAAGTTTTTGGGGCAGTAGCAGTTCCTAGGGCCAGGGAAGCAAACTGGCTATTCCATAGGAAATTCTTCACTGACTTCTCTGTGACCAGCACCACTGGCAGGTTTTTGACATTTCCTTTGGCAGTTGCACCTCAATTTGTTTTAAGGCTGTCACTGAGAATAGCAAGTAGAATATTTGCTGCACAGATCCCAGCAGCCTGCCCTGTCTGCTTTGGCTCAGGATGAGCCTTTCTGGGAAACCCTTGTGCAGCTATACTTTCATAAATAGTATACTCTTTATAGAAGCCTCTTGTCAAGGTGTTAATTACCTTCTCTTTTTTACAGACTCCTCAAAGCAGCCAATACTCTGGCCAGGTGAGATTTCTTTCCTGAAATGCAATGAGCTCTTCTCTAGGGGTCCTGCTTTGCAAATGGGCTTTCGGGTTTGGCTGGGGTTTTTCCTCCTTGGTGTTTCTGAGTGGTCCTTGGTTTTGTTTTGTGCCAGTGAATGAAGGAAAAAGAACTGAGCACAGATGAACTGTTAGTGGAAACGGGCTGTTCTGTTGTAGCTCTGCTGAGACTACAGCTTTACTTACAGCTGACTTCTTGTCTTTCTTACAGGGCTCCCAACCTCAAAGTGTTTCCTACGGCCTGGTAAGTATCTGCCCATCACCAGTCAGAACACAGCACCGTAGCAAGGAGTGTGCCATGGCCCTGCAAAAGCACTCAGCAAGCTCTCACAATTCCAAATTTGATAGAACGTTTTCTATTCTAGAAAATACTTAGAATTCTATTCTAGAAGATTACCTAATAGGGCAAGCAGCTTTGTTTACAAATTAATTCATGCCTTTGTTACAGGGATACCAGCCTCAAGATAGCATTTCCTATGGCCTGGTAAACATAACAGTCAGTATACAACACACCTGATATTCCTTTATATGTATCAAGAATCTGACAGCTTTTTTCTTGAAACAGTATAGTAAGGTCTCATTAGAAGCTGTGAACTTTATTCATATGGGTCTGGTAACTATAGAGTTATTGATACACGTCCTTCCTACTTAGGGAAGTACTTCATAATAAAACACTCACTAGGATGTCCCTGGTTTTCTTAAAAAGTGGTCAGGCAGCTAAAGCCCTTTACAATATTTTCTTGTACTTGAAATGAAGAAAAGGAATATTTAGGTTACTGAGCTGCTCTTTTTTTCCTTGTTTTCTTTTTCTTTTCTCCAACAGGGTGGATCTGGTTACTCAGGTGGCAGCAACGGTTGTGGACAAGTAAGTCCTCTTTCTCCACGCTATCTGAAAACTAGACCTAGCTTTCTTTGTAGTAGTAGCATATTTTCCAGTAAGTTAGCTAATTTTTATGAGTTGAAATCTTTTGGTTTCATTCTTACATGGAACCTTCTAGCACAGAGATCAAGAAGCACTGATATTGTTGGTCATTGTAACCAAAATGAAGTAGCTTCTCAACATATAGTGTTACACACAAAAGGTGGCCAAGTAATGATTCATATATCTTCTCAGTAAACAGGCAAAAATTTTGCTTGGGAATGATTTTTGGATGTTGGCCCATTTACTTCCTGCAGAAAGTGTTAGGATTAGGGAGTGGCTTCTACGGATTAAGAATTGCATTAGTAGTTTTCATCCTGGTTCCATTTCAACTTCTGTATGCCCACACAGTGTAAAGACAGTGTCTTCAATGCTGGGGGAATGGTTGGACTTGATGATTTTAAAGTTTTTTTCCAACCAAGCTGCTTCTATGATTATTGGGCACTGCCTTGCCTAAGATCTATGATGGATGAATCTTGTGTGATTCTGAAGTAGATGGTCGTACAGCTGTAACTGTTGATTCCTAAATGGACTGTCCAAACCAACCCAACCAAACAATTTACCTTTAGCAATCAAGAGGAACTAGGATGATAGAGAGAGTCTGTATCATTCAGCTGCCAGCCTACCTTGCTTTCCATATGGCACACAGTAGTCCTCCTTTGATCATCTGTGTGCATGTGTCTTGGTGCTGTGACTATGTAGGTATGGGAGTGACAGAGGGTAAAGCCACAGACTTAAAGGGTTAAATGCAATTAAACTCACCCTCTGTAAAGTTTTATATAGAGTTTCAGTCCATTAATTCTCACATAGAAGTTTGAAGAAAGCTGACTACTCTGCAAGAAAATGACAGTTGGGACATTTACCTTTTGGTTTGTTTATTTTTTAACAGGGGGTCTCCTATGACAGCAATCCGTGCCACCAGGTAAATGCTTTTCCTTCTCTGATTTTTAAGACAGATTCAAAATTAGTTTTGCCACTAACTCAATGAGAACCAGCTTCTGATTCATAGACTGTAAATCCATGTAATTTTACCAATTATGAGATTAGCACTTATTGTCTTCCTATACACAGGAATATCACATGGGCCTGGGGGCTGTTCTCCCCTTTTTCCTAGCATTATGTCTGTGAAATGTCTAGTTCTATAGGATACTAAGGCCAGATTCTGGAAAGCTGGAACTTTTGGTGCTGGATCTCTAAAAAGCACTATCCTAAAAGATGTCTACTAATATTTAAAGAAACAATCTCTGTAAATGTTAGAAATTATGAAGAAAACAGCAATAGATGATCTCTTTTTTTTTATTTATTCACACTTCTTTTGATTCTTACTGATTTTTCACAAGAAATGGAAAAATGAGATCCATTCATTGTATTAGCAATCTAAAGATATTGATAAATATACAAACAACATAGATGTTGCTGTAATATGTGGTATAGAATATATAGTATTCACAATACACTGTACGTAACTTGAAAGAATAATATATGATATAGGTACATGAGTATGTTTTTTTATAATAGCTATTTTTTTAATAAAGAAGAGCTATTTCTTTCCAAGACTAAAGGCAACACTTAAATTTTGTACTAAAAACTGTTAGAACACCGACAGACAATACTTCTTGTTTCATTTTCCTTTGCCTCTTCTGGATGACGTCTGAGCCCCATTTTAGTGACTGGCAAACATCCCACTCTTCAGTAGCTCAGGATCTCACTGTTCTTATGAACTTTTGACACTAATGCTTCTACAAGTGTGTCTTTTGATTTCACTTGGAGAATTTACATCCCCCTTTTAAAGAGGGCCTGTTGAAACATACCAAGTGCTTTATTTTAAACCTTTTCCTCACGGCCACTGTATCTCACATCTCACAGCTTTCTGTGTAATAATGCTACCACAGGAGTTTTTCATTCCAGGTGTAGAAATTACGTTTTCCACAGAAGAAAAAAAGATAAATTCTCTAGAGACTGTTTAGAATGAAACTCATCTGTGTACTAGGCCTTACTTAAAGCTAAAAGTTTGTAGCTCCTTGGCTACAAATTATGTAGCATTTACCTTTGCACTATTGGTGATCTATGCTCACTACATCAGACATCATATCTGTATCGCATACCTGCCTCTGCTCCTTACTCTTTCTCAGAAAGTATAGCTTTCATTAAAAATAAGCCATAGTCAAACAGCAAGTGTCAAAAGCATGCCTATTTTTGTCTCATTTACAGGATGGATCACAGGGTGGTCAGGTAGGCAGCTCTCTATTATCCATTGGTAAAAACTTTTTAAGCAGGTCTAATTTAGAGTACAGTTTCCTTGTTCATGAGGGTATAGACTCTTCCAGAGGTTCCCCAGCTCCAACCTGCATCTCACTCTCTTAAAAAGGAAGGATTTTTCAGCCTAGAAAGTCCATTTACATAGAAAGAATTCAGCAGCCTTATAAAGCTGCTGGTCATATTCATCTCTCCAGCATTACCTTTGCTGTTTTGTTTTCACAGGGTGGATCATACTCCTTACAAACCTATGATGGTAGCCAAGTAAGTACTAGATTATTATTTCCTCCCACTGAGGTTTTACTTAACAGGTTCTACAAGGGATTATCAATATCTGATTTACAACATTGTAATATTAATCCTATTTGGTTTTGTTGGCAGGGTGGATCACCATCCTCACAAAGTTATGGTGGCAACCAGGTAGGTAGACCTTGATTTTTCTCCTGGTAAGAACTTTTATCATATCTGATAAAGCTGTATAGATATCCAGAAAGCTGTATTTGATCAAAGGAATCCCAGGTAATTGTTTATTCCAGCTTTACAGCCCCCAAATACAACCACAGTTTTTTCTGAAGTAGGGTTTATATTTGTTTGTTTTTACAGGGTGGATCCTACTCGCAAGGCTATTCGGGTGGCCAAGTAAGTAATGCTCTATTTCACTACTTGTTCATAGCTTTGTAGAGGCTTTAGCCTCTGCTCAAAATCAGGTTTCCCATATTCTATTTTTTTCTGATTTTGGTTTGTTTGTTTTAAAGGGTGGATCAGACACCTATTATGATAATCAGGTAACTAGATCTTTCTGTCTTCTAGATACGTGTTATTTCGTGCTAATCTTTGTAGTTCCTGCATCATCTTTCTCAAAGATGTACTAAAACATAACAGTTTCTACGCTCTTTTTGTTTTGGATTGGTTTTGGTTTTTTCTTTAGTGGAGAATTCAACATTCCCTGTAAGCAACTGTTGTATTTGGCTCCTTATTTTCCTTATAAAGAACTTAATTTAATTCAGCTTTTTGTTTGCACAAGCCTCAATTCTGTCTTGCAGAGTACAAAGCTTAGTTTTAACCATCCATTTTTTTGAGGAAATAATTGGTATTTAATGTCCTTCTAGGATTCACAAAGTTACTCAGATGATAACGCTTGTGATGATGTGAGTATGCTTTCTGTAGTATATTTTCATCAGAGTATTTTTCATATAGATGGGAAAATATTGCACTGCTAGATGCAGCCTTGCGCACAGAATGATCCAGAAAGAATGCTGATTTTCCACACTAATAGCATGTTTTCTTACTGAAAATTGTCATGTAAGTGTTGGCAGATGCATTTTGTGCTTTTAAATGCATTTAACTTGGTAAACTGAAATATGGATAAAAAGGCTTTAGTGCCTTTGCAGTAACGGAAACCTTCACTTAAAACCTAAGGATAAATTTTACAGTAATGTTCAAAAATAAAAAAGCAAGTCCCATAGACTAACTGCGTACTAGGAAAAAAAGAAGAGAGATACAGTGGCTATTAAAATATTTTTTCAGACTGAAATAGTAGGATTTCAGACTGATCTAAGCGAGGCTGTGGGGAATATGAGCAACAGTGTATTATTTCTTTTTTATGTCTGTAAGCAGAAAGAATTGGGTTTCTATAAGCTTATTGTATTTAAATAACTCTTAAAGAATGAAATCATTTATTCTTTTCCAGAGTGAGACCACCTATAGTGCCAATGTTCAGGTAAGTACTTTTTTCTTCTGTAGTATTCAGATTCTTATGATTAATGACAGTGTTAGTAACTGAGCACCTCAACATTAGTCCTGTGGGCTTCTGATTGTATAGTATAATTGCTTTATAGTATCCTTCAAAAAGGTAGTTAAAGAAGGAGATTTTTGATGTTATAGCTCTCTGTACTCAGTGCCTTCTAGCCCTTCTCAAGGTTGCTGGGCAATTATTTAAAACTCCACAGTAGTAACACAGGATTTTTGTAGTATATAATGTATATAGTATATACTTTTGTAGTATATGACTGGATAGTTATTTGGGAATTAACCATTTGGATAGGTGAGGCATGTAGCCATCCCAAGCTTTTTCCACTTGTCCTCATTTAAACTTATATATCTGCTGGTGGTGTAAAGTAACATTCTGTCCTACAAGTAGAAGCTGGTAACATGGGTATTTTTTCTATGTTTCAGCCTCCTTTTCTTCTACTGCCATCTAGAGTAACTTTCTGTCATCCGCTGCTTAACCTTCAGTTTCCAGCCAGATACTTTACTGCTTCATTATTTTCCCTATTTTTCCTCTCTAGTATTTTAGTACTGCCCCAAAAACGTACACTAGGAAGTAAGGAGGCCTTCTGAAAACCTCTTTTTCTTTGACTTGAATGCATTGCATTAGGTTTTTGTTCTGCAAACAAAAATCCTTCAGCAGCAAACCCTGTTTGAGTCTCATCACTTCCTCCTTTGTTCACAAAAGATGTTATTATTCCCTTGGTTATCCCTATCCAGTGCATATTGCTGGATTTCATTGTAAAAGAGCTTGCTTCGAAACATTCTCACAAAGGAGGAGAGGGGATTTAAACAAGAACAACAAATCATTATACTGATGGCTTCTGAACCATTGTATTTGAGCTGAGGGAGACTCCGCTCAGCAGGAACTTCTGCTGAAGGAGTGTGAAGGTGACAACAGACAAAGAATATGCTTTTTAAGACTCTTACTGATAGTAAAATGATAGATCTGGACATTTCCTGTGTTAAAATATGCCTCCTTGACAAGTTTAATTAAGTCTTTGCTGAAAGTATTTTGTGAAGGGCTGCATCTATAAATAACTGCCTTCTGGCCCCTTTACAGCGTTCTGGTTGTGCAAAGAAGAAAGTTCTTGTTGCCAGAGTAAGTAGCACCTTTTCTTTTTTCTTTAAGGATAAATATCTTGGCTATTCGCTCTTTGGGTGAATTTATGTTAAAAGAAGTATATAGATGAATAAAAAGACATGAATTCCTGCTGTGAGGTATAGGGCAGCTCAGATTCCTGTTCTTCAGGAAGCACATACAGAGTTGGTCCAAGCTAAAGTCAAAATCCAATGAGTGTCATAAAACCAGAGGACAGCAAAAATTTTAGCTGAAGAAATGTAGAATAGTGAAGTGAGAAAGAATAATGTTTCTAATTAATACTGCTCAGCATGTTGTGGGGGAGATACAGATATGTGTATTGTATAGCTTCAAGTCAAACAATGTGCAAATAAGCTTTAATTTTATAATAAGGTTTTCCTACTCAATGTGTGAATTAAAGGGTCTGGAGTTGTTAGAAACACATAAAAAGTAAAAAAAAAAAAAAGAGGCCTGTCACTGTTCATAGAGTTTTCATCTCCTCATAGTAAATGTCTTTGGTTTTTACAGGATACCTCACATGTTTTGAGCAAAAGAGCCTACGACTCACAGGTAAACTATTCTTGTCACTTTTTCTGCTGGTGTTGCAGCTCCTTGGTCTGATTACCTACAAAAAGAAGAATAAGGATCTAATTCCCACAACAGAGCATTCTGGTTAGGGTTAGGTAGTTTTTTCCCAGTAGAACTATGTATTTTCACTTATTACCCTTACAGAAAAATGAGTCATTTCTTGTTTCCTCACAGAATGAGTCTTCTACCTCAAATAGCAGCCACAGTAACCCCCAGGTAATGACAGTGTCTATTGCATGATATTGCAAAGACTTTTGTGAGAAATCTAATTTTCACTCCTGAAAATTAGATTCCACTCCCTGATCTGTGCTGAAGGATACTAGTTTGATTTGGCAGCATTTTCCCTATAATATGATTTTGCAGTTGTAAATAATTACAATGGGGCCAGAATATACTGTCTCCTCATTCCTTTACTGAGCAGGTAAGCATTGCAGGCATTTGTTTTCATCATATTTTGTAAAATTTGCTTGTAAAACACAAAAGAAACAGGTTTAGAATCCTTTTCTTTTCTTAACACTTATTTTTAGAGGCAGTCCTGCTCTGGTGATGGTTGTGCTCAGATACATACTTCTGTTTCATTTAGAATTTGGTAACAAGGTACATCTTAGTGATGGCATACGTTCCGTTACACAAGTACGTCCAACTTTCCCACTGTGTAGACTTGCATACTGCTGCAGTGGTCTGTGTGTTACAGAATTATGTGAAATTTAATTGATCCAAAGTGACACCTCATTCTGTATTTCTTAATATTTTGTACTGTATTGGTACTCATCAGCTTCCCAGAGATCTGGAATCCCACTGTGCCGAGCATTAGATGTAACACTAGCATAATCCTCTGTCTCTGAGACTTTGAAGCCTAATTCAATAGTACAGTCAGATCTCTGAGCTCCAGAGAGTAACAGTTTCCTTCATTAGTTTTCCTGATAGGCATTCCCTGTGTATTGTATCTGGTCACTAAGTTTCTTCCAAATTGATATTTTCACAAGGATTCATAGAGTTCTTAACAGATTCTGTTTGTTGGTTCAGGGAAGTAGTATAAAGTTTGTCTCTTTCTTCATGCTACATCATTTAATATACCTCAGATTCTGATAAAATGCTTCTATAAAAAAAATAATTGGATTCTTCACAGGGTGGATCTTTTATTGCAACCCATGGATCAAGTCAGGTCAGGATTTTCAGTATTTTTATCTAGTTTTATCCAGATAGCTTCCTGGTAGTTGAAGTAATTAAATTCAGGAGTCAGCCTTTAAGTCCAGTCATTTTGCATGGGGGATTGGTGATGTTATGCACTGAGCTATAATTGAAGTGACCTTGTTCAGATTAGATTTATCTGAAATGGCTCTCCAAAATCACTTCATAATACTGCTTCAATTTCACACATGGTTTATTGGTGAGAACACAATGATGATTCTCTGTACCCTTGACTACCCAGATAATTCTCACTTGATGAGGCATCTGCAGGGACATAGCACTGAGAGATGTAGCATCAGCCTAGCTTCCAAAGCAAATGTTTGGAACAGAGCTGTGCTGTCCTCTCATTTGTTCTAGGTGTAGGAATGGTCACAGCTACTCTGTAGTCCCACAGGCTTTATTCCCCCAAACACAGTTTCACATCTGAAATAAGGTATTCTTTTAAAATTCCACAATCAATAATTATTTCCCTTTTTTTAATTTATAGGGTGGTTGTGTTTGTCCTGATGGCAGCAGTGGTAGCAGACAGGTAATTCTTTTTCTGAGTTTATACTTTGGTCTACATAGTGAATTAATCGCCTAGTAAGTGTGGACAACACGCTTACCAGTAATAGTATTGGGCAATGCTAAACAGTATGGTCAATTTTCTTAGTATGGATAGAATTATATACAATGAAAACACAGAATCCTAGAATCACAGAATGGTTTGGGTTGAAGTGACCTTAAAGCTCATCCAGTCCCAACCCCCTGCCATGGGCAGGGACAGCTCACACTAGAGCAGGTTGCTCCAAGCCCCTGTATCCAGCCTGGCCTTGAACACTGCCTGGGATGGGGCAGCCACAGTTTCTCTGGGCACCCTGTGCCAGTGCCTCAGCACCCTCACAGGGAAGAGCTTCTGCCTTAGATCTAACCTGCACTTCCCTTGTTTCAGTTTGAACCCATCACCCCTTGTCCTATTGCTGCAATCCCTGATGAATGTGTCCCACTTTAACTGCATAGTTACTGTTTGGCCCCTAACTTTTTGTAACTGTGCTTGGTAATCCCCATGCTCTGTCAGTTGACTACTACGTGCTCTTTCATAACTCAAAATCCAGAGTCAATATGCTCTGTAGTAGCCATAGAATTTAATCCCATCCACTTCAGGTTTCTTGTCCTTCTCACAGGTGCAATAAATACTGTGACTAAAATGTCAAGATCTGATAAATATTTTGAAATACAATCTCTTAAAACAATATTTAAACTATCTTTTCCCATGAAGAGTTACTGTAATTTCATGTTCAGTGTCTCTGGATAAACTTTTCTCCTAGGCAGTGCTTTCCTGCTAGGATAAAGCTCAAGGAATGCAATTATGTGGGCATTAGAGACTAGTTTTACCCAACGTCTGTCTTAAATTACCCTACTTGGATTTTAAAGTCACCTACGTTCTACCTAATAACAGTTTTTAAAGCTTCTCTCAAAGCTGCATTTACATGCACCCATTTGAATGGTGTAATATTTTTGTAGTTTTCAAGTTCAACAAGAACCATATTCTGGATTATTATTTCTATAAAAAAGCATGCTGTATTTAAACAAACTAATTGTGTAAAGAAATTACTGCTTCCTGAACTGAAATGTCATTAACTTTAGCATAGAGCGATAGTAATTTTGGTCAGGTAATAAAATACCACCTCTTCCCTGTAATTGAGGCTGAGCAGCAATCATGACCTACGTGTTTTAAAATAGAGACTTTTCTATTGAAATACTTAATATTGAAGCCTCATCAAAGAAAAGCTTTGTTGTGTTGTTGTGTGATTGTAATGCTATGTAAGCAAATCCATTTACAAAGGGAAAGGTGGACATCTTTCATTCTAATAGGGCCTTCTTCTTTGTGTGCTGAAATAGTCAAAGCTATGCATATTTAAACCATCTTGTGTCAAAGGAAGCAACGGGTTTGCCTTATGTGGATCCTCAAATTCCTCGCGCTGCAATTATTCCATTTTTTCTCTAAACCTCATCTAAAGAACTCAGTCTACAAGTAGACTGTAAGGAAACAGTCTAGCCATAGAATATACTTCATCTATTTTGCATATAAAGGGGATGTGACAGTAATAATGGATGTTATGTACTGGTAAATACTCTTCTCCTTTAGGTGAGCTGAAAAATCTGCTCTCCTAAAGCCTATTTACAGTTTTTCAAAACATGACTATCATGACTATCTGTGACAGTACAGAGTCTGCCAGGTATGACATCGGATTCCTGGATTAGAAAGGGTAAAATGAAAAGTAACTAGTACTTTGAGATTTTCTAACCTGAATGAGAAAGTACCTGGTAAAGGTTTTTTTACCTCTAACAAAAATAGCCAGTGTTCTCTTCTAATGATTGCAGTAGTGTCCTCTTTGAAAGCTACATTTTGAAAGAACTAAAACTCAGAAATGGACTCACTCAAATGTCTGTTTGCAAAGAAATAGCTAGTCTGTGTTTTCATTGCAGGGAGCCCCAGGTTCTTCACACAGCACATATTCTGGTAACCAGGTAAACATGTAGATAAATTGCCCTGTTCAGAAGCTCCATCTAAAACCTTCCCTGAAGAAGGAGCCAAATATAAAGCATTAACCCATTCTGTCTTCTGCACAGGGAGGGCCTTCCTTCTATCCTGGAGGATCCTATGGACAGGTAGCTGTTCTTCCTCCCTTACCAGGATAACACAGACTCCTATTGTTCCGGTTCCTACACTCCTGATATTATGGGTGTTGTGACTTGCTATCATACAGTTGTCTCAGAGCAGAAAACTTGCATTAACCCTGCTGTAACCTAGTGGTGTGAGGTTTGACAGAGAACAGCACAGAAAGGAATCTGGAGGTTCCTTGCAGAATTCAGATTTTAGCAGGCCAAGAAAGTTACCACCAGAAGATTTCTTCCACTTTAACACTATTGGACTTGATTTTTACATAGGTACATAAAAGTTAGCTCAAAACTAGGAGTATGTATATAGCTGAGAACTAGATATGCTGGTATTTAAATACTCATCTTGTCTGCAAGTAAATAGCTTGTCTGTATTTTCTTTTCAGGATGGCCAAGGTTCTTCCTACGGCTCTTACTCTGGTAACCAGGTAAGTCTTGTGGTCATCTGTGCCTGCACAGGAGCAGCCTAAAAGTCCTCCTTGAGAGACCATTTCAAGTACAAACCAGTAATTTTTAATGTTTTCTCTACAGGGTGGGTCTTCCTTCTATCATGGTGGATCTTATGGACAGGTGAGTGTTCCTCCTCATTTGAAAAGATAACAGAGGCTTCTGTTATTTCCATTCCTGCACTCCCCATACAGCGGCTGTTGTGAAATGTAACACCCAAGAACTGAATTGACCGGTTATAATTTGCACCATGAAGTCCATCAGAGGAAAATATTAAATTGGGTTTACAACTTCCATGAAATGATCTTTCATCCAGCTAAGAAAATCACTGATAACAAGGTCCTTGTTCTTTGACAATATTGGCCTCAAGTGAGAGTAGGGTCCATTGCTATTTACACGATCCTGTTTGCAAAAAAATAGCTAGTCTGTTTTCATTACAGGGAGCCCCAGGTTCTTCACACAGCACATATTCTGGTAACCAGGTAAACATGCAGATAAATTGCCCTGTTCAGAAGCTCCATCTAAAACCTTCCCTGAAGAAAAAGCCAAATATAAAGCATTAACCCATTGTGTCTTCTGCACAGGGAGGGCCTTCCTTCTATCCTGGAAGATCATATGGACAGGTAGCTGTTCTTCTTCCCTTACCAGGATAACACAGATTCCCATCATTCTGGTTCCTACGCTCCTGATACTGTGGGTGCTGTGATTTACTATCATACAGTTGTCTCAGAGCAGAAAACTTGCATTAACCCTGCTGTAACCTAGTGGTGTGAGGTTTGACAGAGAACAGCACAGAAAGGAATCTGGAGGTTCCTTGCAGAATTCAGATTTTAGCAGGCCAAGAAAGTTACCACCAGAAGATTTCTTCCACTTTAACACTATTGGACTTGATTTTTACATAGGTACATAAAAGTTAGCTCAAAACTAAGAGAAACGGTATAAGTGAGAACCAGATATGCTGGTATTTAAATACTCATCTTGTTTGCAAGAAAATAGCTTGTCTGTATTTTCCTTTCAGGACGGCCAAGATTCTTCTTACAGCTCTTACTCCGGTAACCAGGTAAGTCTTGTGGTCACTTGTGCCTGCACAGGAGCAGCCTAAAAGTCCTCCCTGAGAGACCATTTCAACTACAAACTAGTAATTTTTATTGTTTTCTCTACAGGGTGGGTCTTCCTTCTCTCCTGGTGGATCTTATGGACAGGTGAGTGTTCCTCCTCATTTGAAAAGATAATGGAGGCTTCTGTTATTGTCATTCCTAAACTACCCTTCGAAAGAAGGAATACTCTTTCTTGAGGGGACTAAAATAATAAATTTGGTTCTATTTTCTGAGCAGGGCGGGTCTTCTGCCTATGACAGCACCGGTGAATCCTATGGTCAGGTAAGTAATGTGGTTTTCTATGTTAAAAGGGTGATGAGGACTCCTACATATAGCTGCATTCTGTATTTTGGCTCTTTATTTTAATGAACGTGGCTTTTTTTCTTTCTGGAGTGAAATTTGCATCTACTTTTAACTAAGTAGCCTTAAAATTTATGCGGGAGTAAAAAGTGGGATGCCTCCAACCATTAAAGCTTGTTCTTCTCAACAAAAGTAGCTTTGAATCATCTGCAAGATGAAAGTCTCTCCAAAAGTAGAAATAGAATTTGAGTTTAAAAGATGCTAAAGGAGTGCTTTACAGGGACATAACTATGAGTTGCTCAGTAGCCATTCTGATCAAGTAAATATTCACTTTTTTTTAAATATCCCTACAATAAGCATGAAAATATTTTCTTTTTCCTTTTAGCAACAAAAAAAAATGAAAGGAAAAAGGTCTGTTTGCAATATGATAATGTTTATGTGTTCTGAACAGGGTGGCTCTTCCACATACAGTGGTGCTGGATCTTATGGTCAGGTAAATGTTATTTCTCTCATACATCAAAAGCTTAAGCTCACTGTGTTGGTTCTTCTGCACACTGGGTTCTATATCTCAGTTATTTTGAAGTGATGCCCATTTTACTTTTTGCTTGCCTCTCTTGTGTTTACCCTTTTACCACTCCAAATGTTTCCATAATGGAGGGGATGTGATGCACTATAAATACTCTCTTGTTGACTGTGCCACTGTGACTGTTCAATGCTTTAAGTATTTGATTGTTTATGCAGCAGCTCATTCATGAATAAGATGTTTTGTGCATTTACTTTACCTCTGCAGAAGCTGTTCCAAGTCTAGGGGCAGGCACATGCTATATTTGAAGTCTATATTTATGAATGTGAATGTCATTGGGGGATCACTCTGTGGGACTATCTTATGTTTTGTTTAGCAACACATTTTAACTAGCCCAAGTCATACCTAATTATTTATTAAAACTAGGAAGACATATAATCCCAATTGTTTTTTCATAGCTGTGCTGCTACTTCTAGAGTAGGTTCTAGAAATAAAGCATGGATAGTGGGATTTCTGAATATAAAGAATGCTTAATTTTGCAAATCAACTTTATCCAAAATTTTTTCTGTATAAAAACGCACGTTTACGAGGAGAGTTGGGATTTTTTAGCCACTCTTGCTTAAGCAACAGGTGAAGTTACATATATGGGTTTTTTTTTTCCTTGTGCATTCGCTGGTTTAGGTAAAATTGGAAATTCTAAGTGGCTGCTTATTCTTGTTCTTCTATTTTACATCATTCACAAGCAAGGTCATGTGAGAGTCCTTTTCATATGAAATGTTTTTTCTTTATTTTACAGGATTCATCTTCCATAGGAGGCAGTGACAGTGACAATGTAAGCATTTCTTCTCAAGTATAGCAATATCAGAATTTGCTACCTTTTTAAGTGTCTAGGTGATTACCTGGACCTTTACCTTACCGCATCATCTTATCTTCAAGAGCTCCTTCCCAGTACATTCTAATCTTCTGTGTTGGTTAGTAGTTTTCTGCAATAACTTGCTTGAAATGTTGGGTTTTTTTTCTAGGGATAAAGGAAAGCATAGATTTAAATTATGTCACATTATTGTGCTATGGCAGGGTAAGGACTTGGCAAATTAAAACTCCATTTACAACAGTTCTGACTTGCAGCTATCAAGATTTCTTGGAAGTCGTTACTAGAAGTAGCATTTGCAAAGGAAGCTCTTTTTTCTTTATTTCAGGATTTCCATTGAAACTCAATATTAGTGTATGCTCAAGGTATACAGAACCAGAGACTTCCAACAATTTAATTGGGCTACTTTTTCACTGAGTAAATTTAATAATACTGATTTAACTACAAGAGCGGCATTATCAATATGTCAGATCAGCCATTCTTGTTCTTAAGGGTTATATTTTGTGATTTATTTCCTCAAGAGCATATGCCATTTGTGTTTACTATTCTGGACTCTCAACAATTCCCACAAGTTAAGACTTTCAAATTCAATTGCTCTGGAAGTACAGATTTATTTAAAAATTCAACTTCTCCTTGGTGTTTTGGTTTGTTTTTTTTCTTTACCATTAAGCATTTTCTCATTTTATTTTATTCTTTTTCTTCAATACAACTTCCCTTCTCAATGCTGCACAGACTAGTTCCTGCTCTTGCCATCTCCAAGTCACATTACATTTCATTTGTGTTTTTCTAATGCTGGATACATAAGATTCAAGTTCCTGCATCTGTATATTGCATAGGAATGGTCCCTTTCCATGTAGTGTGGTAACAACTGCTTGCTTTTCTGCTTAAGAACATGCCTGTCCTCCTGACTAAAGTATCTTTCCTATTTATTCTGGTGGAGCTGTTAATACAACTTTGTAGGTTTCATGTCTCATTTTCTCACAGTTTAACTGGATCTCTAACAACTGTTATCCAGTATCCTGCTTAGTAGGAAATTGTTCTCTAAAAATTCAGCTGTGCATTTCAACCACAAGTATAGTGTGTCATTAGTTTCCACAGTTTCTGTATCAAAATCTTCTTGTGGATATTCAACAAAGCTAAAATACGATATCACAGAGGGCCCCAAGGCCTTCTGAAGGAAACAATGGTATGAAAGAAACTAAGGTACATCAACATTGGTGTGTTCCACTGAGCTCTTACAGGAACCAAGACAGCATAAAGTGCTGCTGTTTTCAACTATAGCATTCTAAGAGGAAATAACATAGTTTGAGATGTGATCTCATTCTTTTGTTACACTATATGAGGATTTAGCTTGCCAAAGAAATGCCATTCTCTAGAAATGAGCAGAGAAAGAACTTGAAAAAATGCTGCTTACCCTACAGCCTACATCTTTAACCTTCCCAACAAGCAGTGGTATTATTTGCCTTCCGCCCTTGCTTAGAAAAAAACAGAACTATTTGCTGTGCAGTAACTAGATTCTAACATCTTTTAGGGCTCCAGCTCACTGTCTGGCAGCCAGCAGAATGAACGGGTAAGTACTCCTTCCTTACATGTTGCCAGGGTGTATGCCCCAGGACCTGGCAACTCCCAGCCACCTAAATTACAGCTTGTGTGGAAGTTGCCACAGCAGCTTCCAGTGTGGGACAGAAAAGTCCCACAAGCACAGAGGGAATGAGGATATGACTAAAGTACTGCTAGAAATCCTAGCTGATGCTGAGGTGTACTCTTGAATCTCTAACATTACAAACCACAGTACCACAATTTACTTGTTCAGGTTCCTGCACTTTTTTACTCATTACCTGTCTGCAGAAGGCTTCAATACCATGATTTGTCCAGCATTTATTTAAGTATAACCCTTTGCTGTGATGTGCTGTATTACTCACTTCTGAAGGCTTCCATTTTCCTGTCCTTTATACATGGCACACATTTTATTTATTCTAATGAGAATTAAATGACACAGACTGAGAAATTACTTTGTTGGAGATGTAAGAACTCTTTAATCATTGCATCCGAAAGAATGTCTTTCACTAAAGGAGCAATTGTCAACAAGCATAAAGGAACATGTGCTGTGTTAAACAGAAAGACTTTTTTTTTTTTCTTAAACAATCCGTAAGAGACAATTAAGGCATGTGGAGAAATTCAGCTTCCATCCTGATCTTTCCAGGTTTGGGGGTTTTGGGATTTTTTTCATGTAATTTCAATGCATTTTTCCAGGATTTTTATTCCCCAGGAGGCAGCCAGTCAGGTGGACATGTAAGCATCTATTTTATTCCTTATTTGCAGTTCCCTTCCAATAGAACATGGCTGTTCTATTTCAATTGTCCTGATGAGTAAATGATACCCAACTGTTTATCACGTAGAATTTCTCATGACATCTCGCATCATGTCTTGTAAAACAAAATGGCAAACTGTTTTTAAAAGAATAATGATTGAAAGATTAAAGAAATATGTGTAAAACACAACATAGTCTTGTTTTTCAAAAGCTATGGGAAACAAAAATAAATTGGGTCTGCTTTTTGCAGGGCTCATCCTCTCAAAGTGGTGGCTACTCCGGTGGACAGGTAAATACTAACTATTTGTATTTTTGACCCCAAGTATCTGTTATACAAAAGCTTGAGCCCCCATATTGTACTACAGCAGCTTTTTATCTGGGAGCAAGGTTCATTTGGTACTCAAACACCTTTTCCTTATGTATCTCTACATAAAAATCCACATGTAAGGAGAGTGGTCAAAATACTATTCATCTATCGACTGATGTCCTAACACAAGTGGAAACAAGTGAAAATAAGAAAGATTTGATTTTAATTTCTGATTAATAAATGAAAATAAGAAATATTCCAGAAGTGGAAACAAGTGAAAATAAGAAATATTTCATATTAATTTCTATTGTTAACTGGTAATTAAGTTATTTTTATTTTTTTCAGGACTCCTCCTCATCTGGAAGCAGCCAGTATGGTGGGCAGGTGGGAAATTTCTCTTCATTGTTGGCTTGGTTTTGGTTAAGGGATTTGGGGTTGGTATTTTTTTTTGGGGGGGGGGGTTGGGGTTTTTTTGTCGTTGTTGGGTTTTGGTTGGTTGGGGGTTTTTTGCAGGTTTTATTTGAGGTTTGGGGGGTGTTATTTAATTGTTTTTCCCCAATGTACACATATCAAGAAAATATGACCAGGTTGACAGTACCTAAGGTTCCAGACTACTGTGGGTTTTTTTATCCTCATTAATCTTTCTATAGATAAAACTGGGTTAGTAACCAGATAGATGTCTTCAAACAGACTTTAGAGAATAAAAGACAATCGGTGGTAAATCAAATGTACATGTCAAAGAAAGTCTTTTAAATGAAAATATAACATTTACAGGGTTCAAGTTCTTCAGGAGGCAGCCAGTACGGTGGACAGGTACGCTTTCCTTTCTCCATACAGTTCAGTTGTGCTTGTGGCAGGCACTCACAATTTACTTTGCCTATGTTTCGTACATGAGAACTGTGTTCTGCCTACAGTGTCCTTTCTGCCTAAAGCCTCAGCAATGTCATATTCTTTTTCCATGTCATTCAGACATCCTGCAGGCCAGAGTCACCAGTAGTGACTGAGTGGCAGTTGTACTGGAACTTCTACTCCTGCTTTGTTGATATATATTTTTCTTCTTACCCATTTCATGCAGATTGAATGTGGGAAGTGAGACACTGAATGGAATTCCTGGCCACCTCTCACTTAGACTTATCAGAGTAGAAATCACATGTTTCTATATGGAAAAAAAAATTGCTCTCTGTAGTATGACTCAGAATGTTTTACTTGTCCTCTTAGTGAGTAAGGTTTTGAAGGAAAAGACTGTAGGTAACAAATTAGAAGATAATTATTTTAGAAGATTTTTGCCTCATCAAAGCAGTAAGGACAGGAATAGTTGCATAGGATGAAGAGAACAGAAAACAGCCTAGTTTCTAGAAGACGGGAACTTGGACAATTATGAAGGTAGCTGGGGTGATAGCAAAAGTCATCAGAGTTGTAACTGAAGTCCCTCTCAGTCCTGTGCTCCTGATAAATATTTTCTCCATTCTTTACAGGGTGGATGTGATTGTTCTGGGACAAGTTCTGTAAGTGTTATTTTTTATTATTTATTTTCTTTTACTAAATTATTTAACTGGAAAATTATCTGTGGCCCTATTTATGTATATGTTACTTATTTGAATGTACTCTTAATTTTATAGTCATTGCTCCTTTGGTGACTTATATATTACTGACATGGTAGGAGTTACTTCTCATTATGCCAAGATGAAGAATTAGTAATTACAGAATCATTCAGATTGTAAAAGACCTTTAAGATCATCAAGTCCAACCATAAACCTAACATGCCAAGGCCACTGCCAACTAACCCATGGCACTGAGGCCTTGTCTCCACAGTGTGTGAACACTTGCAGGGACGGTGACTCCAGCACTGCCCTGAGCAGCCTGTTCCAATGCCTGAGCACCCTCTGGGGAAGGAATTGTTCCTCAGCTCCATCTAAACCTGCCCTGGTGCAGCTTTAGGCCGTTTCCTCTTGTCCCATCCCTTGTTCCTTGGGAGCAGAGCCCAGCCCCTCCTGGCTCCATCCTCCTGTCAGGCAGTTGTAGGGAGCGATCAGGTCCCCCCTGAGCCTTCTCTTCTCCAGACTGAACCCCCCAGGTCCCTCAGCTGTTCCCCATCACACTTGTGCTCCAGGCCCTGCACCAGCTCCATTGCCCTTCTCTGGCCCTGCTCCAGCACCTCAATGTCTGTCTTGTAGTGAGGGGCCCAGAGCTGAACACAGGATTCGAGGTGCAGCCTCACCAGTGCCCAGTGCAGGGAGACAGATTGCATTAAATAGCAGAATTAACTGACGAAAGATCTATCATGTAGGAAAGTTAAAATAATGGCAAATGTATAAAATTGCCAACCATTCAGAGTTGTCTTATAAATCAATGTTTACCAAATTTAAAAACAAAAACAGAACAACAAAACAACAAAAAAACCTGAGCCACTTCTCATTTGTGCTTTTAACTCCATATGAAATTATTTAGGCTGTGGTCAATCAATATCTAGTATGTAAAGGACATTCCTGCACTTTGGGTAGCATTCTTATTCACTATGCAATGAGTTATGGTTAGATACAAAATGATTCTTTGTGACACATGGTCTTCCAGGCCAAAAAGGACTATTTGCTATCTTGGCAAATTAAGAAACGTAAGTGAAGTGTAAGTGTAATTTAGTTGCAGGCCGGGATATTCCTCCTTTCCAATGCCACAGAAAAGCCATTCTAAGGTTTTATTTAATTTTTAGTTTATGATCAAAAACAAAGGCTATTTTTTTTTTCTTTTTCTCCCCATCCCACCTCCCCCTTACAGGGTGGATCCCCTACCTTAGTCAGGAGTGATACCTCTGCAAATGTAAGCAATATTCATCAGCTTTTCAGTGTGCCCCGGTTTGGTTTTGTCAATATAATGGCTAGAGAGGTTAAAAAGAGTCAGTGCCTAATAAAAGTCATATACTTGTGTAAAAAACCTAGCTTGGTTACAATTAAAAGTACACACAGGAAATTCATGCAATGCTCATAGTTTCTCTTTCCATTTGAAATGGTGTTCATTCAAAGAGGAGTCTTTGAATGAAAATTCTGTTTGGCACAAGGACAAGTACATAACAATATTTATTTTGGGCATTAGTTTTCCATTGGCTTCCTTAACATTATGTCAAAATATCCCTAAGGACATGGATTTATGTATTCGTATTCTTCTTAGATAATTTACCACAAGAAAGATTAGTGTTCATAGATGGGAATTTTAATTTATCCTGCATGGATACCTATCTCCTCTTTTGCACAAGAGACCTGTTTAGAGCATTCCCAAGGCCAGTTCTGTTCATCATGTGTTAGGAAGTTATGCAGCATATGTCACTGGAACTCTGTGTGTACTGCACTAAAGACAGAAAAACCATTTGGGTCTTTTTGTACCTGCTACAGAGCTCTGCGGCATTGTTACCATTGTTACCAGGAGTGGCATGAACTAATAGATACCAAGATGGTTTGGACACAGCTTTGTGTCCAGACAAAAAACAGTATTACATGATAAACAGGACTGCTGCCTTGAAGGAAAGAGGAATGTGTGTATATCCACAGTCAAGAAAATATTCTTACCCAGCTGTGTTCTACATACCTCATATTATTGGTGCTGGGATTTGTTTCCTTTGAAACTTCCAATTGGGACTGGGTTTTTTTTTTGTTTTGTTTTTGCTGGCTTGCCTATCTTTGGACAGCAGTTTGTAATCAGGGATATTGTGTATAGATTGAGGGAACATAGTTATTATGTCTACACCAACAAGTACTGCAAACTGCTAGGACTGTTTCACCCTACAGAGTGAAACAGTCTGTGCTGATGAATTGATGGCCACACTGTATACATTTCAGGAAGGGTTTGCGCTGGTCTGGTCCCATGGATCAAAAGTCCATTTGCTACGTGAACACACCAAGTATTACCCTAGAAAGCATTCTACAATTTAGATTAACCTAAAAAGTATCCAGTTAATTCATTCCAAGACTCAGTGTTGTTTGTTTTGCATCATGGAGTGGGGACTATCTCAAAGCACACAACTAATCTCTATTTTAATGCACCCAACACCTCAGCATGGGAGAATAGCTTTTGCATACTGAACGTAGATCTTGGTTCTCCCCCAACTCTATGTTCTAGTCCACCTCAGAACATTGTCTTTAATATCTTCTTCAGAGGCCAATTGAAAAGCCATTTTACACAGTTACGATTCCCAATGAAGGCCACATTTCTGATAGATACTTAACATTATGTACTAAATACAAACCAGTTTCATTTCTTTATGAGCTTAGCAGCTCTTGTGGAAGCTCAGAATACTCCAAAGCTCTGTAGGATTCTGCAGGAATGAACTTTAAAAGCTTTTTGTGGAGATGTCATTCTCCAGTGTGCTGATTTTAAACAGAAAGAAGCTGCCTGTCCTTCAGTCAGATCCTTTAAAGTGAAATAACAGGTATTTCCTTTCTGAAAGGGCTCTGGAGGTATTCATCATGATGGA